CTGTACATACATTGATACAATACAAAACAAATAACCGTTCAACAATTGTAATTTAAATGCATGATAGTGTGTAACACTCGTTGGAATCGGAAGGTATGAAATAGTGGTTGTAGAATAAACAAAATAAAGGTTAATAGGGGTACAGTCCCCTCTTACAGATATACAGACCTTGCAGCGTGATTTCATACTTGAAATAAGGGAGTTTATAATGTCCTGTGGCAATTGGTCCCACTCGTTCAGCAACGCTGCTTTCATTCCCTGGATGTTTCTCGGAGGAGAGTAGCGAGTTGCAATTGTCCTCCCAGAGCGTCCCAGGCATGCTCTATAGGGTTGAGGTCTGGAGATCTGGCTGGCCAATCCATCCGATGAATATCCTCACTCTCTAGAAATTTGTTCAACTGAAGAGCTCTATGTGGCTTCGCGTTATTGTCGATTAAAAGGAACTCAGGGCCAACTGCACCCCTGAAAAAGCGAACATAGGCTCCAAGACCTCATCCCTGTATCTCACACCAGTCACAGAGCCTCTTTCAAAGGCATGGAGAGGTGTGCGGCCGTTCAAAGCATGATGCCTGCCCAGACTATTTAGCCTGCTCCGCCATAATGGTTGATTTCGTGGACATCGGAGGGTTGGTAGCGGGTCCCGGGTTTTTTCCATATGAACGCACGGCGAGAATTGATGTTTAGGCTGAACCGGGAGTCATCAGTGAAGAGAACGACCTCTCATTGATTCATACTCCAATCTCTCTGCACCATGCTGACTGGACTCTCCCGTTCGTTAAAGCTTGCGGGACGCAAACAGCAAGTCTTCTTGCAAACAACCCTCTCTCATGAAGTCGTTTGGAAACAGTCATCCTTGATACACGAGTTCCTGTGGCTGCATACAAGTCACGAGAGAGCTGAGTAGCCGTTGCCCCTCTGTTACGCCTTCCTGTGGTGATCTTCTCCGGCCGTCGTGGCTCTCAGATGACCTTGTCCAGGCTTTCTCTCGATGGATCCGGTATTCTGGAAGTGTTTCTATAAGTTACGTAGTAACGCTGGACGTTACATTGAACTCTCAAGAAATTTGGACCTGAGATTGGTCTGCTTCTAGCCTCCCCACAAATTCTCAACCTCATTCCATCATCTAAACGTTGGTCGTTACTCATTTTTATTCTTACAATTTGAATTTAATTTATTGCTGCAAAATAACGCCAAGAAATTAACCGAGGTGTGCTAGCGAACGAAATGCATCTTGACTTGCGCCCACTTATAAAGCCTATTTCTCTACTGGCTCCACCTACACACACGTATACGCTTACGTATTTAATGTACAAAATTTGCATTTCTGTCTAGAAACAGTGGTTTTACTTTCAGTTCAGTTTTTTTATACAAATTCCATAAAATATGCAAATTCTCTTTATTTATTTCACCAGTGGAGATCAATATTGGCCGATGTTCAACAACGTCAGAAGCTTCTTTGGAAGAAGAAACAGACGAAAATAAATTAACTAAAACATTCGGATATTAAAAGTTGAACTCTATACAAACATAACGAAACTCAAACAAAACTTAAATTTGTTTAATAAAATATTATTAACACATAAAATTTTTCTTATTACATAAAAAATGTGCCAAAATATTTTTTTTCTGAAACACTTCTAGAACAGCAAATATTTGTTTTCATTTTTCAAAAAGCTACTTACAATGAAAACTTTTCATTTCTTACATAAAAAGAAACACTTCTTAAAATTAATTTCAATGGTAAGGTAGCAAGAAAATTCTAGAATGAAAAAAAACGATGAGCCATGTTTTTTTCTAGGGACATTTCATTACTACTAGAAGAGCAATGTACTTCAAGGAGAAATACTATATTTGATTTTGAAGGAATTTATAGCTACTTCTGCTACTCTTTCTGTCAGAATAAAGTAGAAAATAAATATCATAGTTTCCTCGCAGCTTTAAAGTTTTTTTGACATTAAGTCAAAGAAAATATTTGAAAATCGTTGAGCATGTATAATAAATAAAATTGTAACTTTTTCTAACAGAAACTTTACCCTCTACATTATGAATCATTTTGCTAGCTGAAATGTAAGTAACAAAGTTTTTTTTCTGTGATTAATACTTGGATTTTCAAACTGAAATTTTTCAATTAAACTTTTTATATCGATATTAGATGTTGCACTAATTAAAGAATTGCTTAATTTGCTTAAAAAAACTTTTTGTGACATTTAAAAAAATAAGAAAAAGGCATACTCTCAGGAAAAGTGGTACAATGTCGAACCATTATGTTGATACTTTAAAACATATGGCAAAAATCTGTCAAAACTTTAAAAAAAGTACCAAATTGAAGCAAAGTTTATGTTCAAATTGAACCATAGTATGAATTTTAGGAGGTATGATAGTATGGTTAAATGGTATATAAACAAATAAAAAAAAGAGTTCAACTTTCATGAGATTTGAAGAAAAACCGCATGCTTACAATTGTATTTATATGTTTTATTATAATTGTTCATTATCTCAGAAATATAGCGCCAACTTGGCATCTTTGTCTTAGCATCCTCACCACCGTTTCTTGTAACCCCTAACAGTTGAAAATTAGTTGTTGTTGTTATAGCATTAGCTTGCTCGTAGCACCAATCATAATAAAATCTTTAATACAGTCCAATCGCTATTTTATTCTATTGTTAACAAGCGAACCAGCATAGAAATCAATCAATTGGTAACGAACATTAGTGGTCCGTCGAGCCGGAGATGGAAAAAGAAAAACTAAATAGATCGAAGCGTGCCGTCAAAGGCACCATAACAAAGTTAGAAACATACATTGATCAAACGAAGGAACGTAATCCAACTGAATTAGAAGTGAAGCTTAAGCGTGTTGAACAATTATATAAAAAAATTGATGAATTGAAGGATCAATATTATGGTCTAAAAGATATCAGTGACTCTGAGATAACTGAAGAAGAAACTGATTTAGAAGGAACAGTCGACAGACTAGAAGCTTTGGAGGTAAGAATTAAAGATATTCTTAACTCTTTGATAATTAAACCATCAATAATTAATTGTAAAAATGAAATACCTCAGGCTGATTCGAAAACAAAACTAGAAATTAAACTACCTGAGATACCACTACCGGTATTTCACAGTAAATTTGATGAATGGCCCAATTTTAAATCACAATTCGATAACATTATAACTAAAAACAATGATTTAAATGACTTCCAAAAACTGCATTATTTGAAAGGGTCATTGCTGGGCGACGCTAAACGTCTTGAAACTGTTGACGATTCTTTTGAGTCACTTTTAAAAGCAGTAGAAAATAGATTTGAGAATAAACGTCTTCTCACTGAGACTTACGTAAATCAAATTCTTGAAATTGAGAAACTTGCAAATGAATCAGCTGGGGATATTCGAAACATGGTAGATATTTTAAAGAAAAATATCAGATCTTTAAAGCTTCTAAATTTTGATCGTAATAATTTATCTGACATACTTTTGCTCAACATCATTTTGAAAAAGGTAGATCGAGAAACTAGAAAACAATATGAACAAACGATCGCATCAAATGAAATACCAGAATTGGATAAGTTTTTAGAATTTTTAGAAAAAAGAAGCCAAATTCTTGATAGTATTAGCCGAACAGCTTCTTCTTCAATTTATAAACATAAGCTAGCGGTTAAAAATAGTAAATCTTTCCTGAATTCGAATAATAATCCCAACTCTTGTGTAATCTGTAAATTACCACACATGATTTATAAGTGCAACACTTTTCAAAATATGAAGGTTTCGGATAGAATTAATGAAATAAAACGTACAAATTTGTGTATTAATTGCTTAAAGAATAATCACAAAGTAAAAGACTGTAAATCGGAAAATTCCTGCTTCGTTTGCAAGAAACGCAATAATACATTACTATATATTTATGAGATTTCTTCCCCGCCTCCTACCTCCTCAGTTTCTACTATGCCAGGCGCCGATCAAACAACTGTCTCGCAAGTGCATGATTCATTCCCACAAGAACATTCGAACGCATTTTCAAATTATTTAGTATCAAAAAAGAAACAAAATATTCTCTTGCCTACTGCAGCTGTTTATATTAGAAATGAATTGGGTACTCGCATTTCTAGAAGAAGGAGACCTCCCATACCCACACACGTGACCTATGACGTCAGCGCCAGATAATTTTTATCAGCAAAATGGTGTATTAAAGTTGAGTTAAGTTTCTCTACAGAAGTTAGAATGTTAATTAACTATAATTTAATTCAATACAGAGCTGTATCGCACATCGAATGAGTTAAAATACAAATCTCTCTCGTCTACTCCTTTTCCTTGACTTAGATTTATTATTTGTATATGTATTTTAATGCAAACCATGATATATTTTTGTTTTGTGTAACTGGTAACTTCGATGCATAATTAGTTTATGTTCCACAGGGCTTTGTGCCTATCTATGTGTTAAGTCACTGTGTAAATATATAGGAAAACAATTGAAATCTTTGAGAAAGGATCTTTGTGAAAGGACTTTGAATGTGTCACTTATGAGAATTGATATTTGACAGGCTTGGCTTATTCGAAATAAAATGGAAAGAACAGCTGCTAACTTAAAAAAAAAATGCCACGTTTCAACAACCAATTAGGATCGAGATACCCACACTACGTCACTTGCAAGTATCCCATTGGGAGACAGAGAGATTTTGGATTCCGCTTCTCATCTTTCTTTCTGTAAACAAAACTTAGCTAATAACTTAATGTTGAAAAAGGAAAAAATAAATGCTTCTGTTTCTAGATTGAGCGATATTTCGGTAAATATCAAACAAAAGGTAACCACTGTAATTAAAAAAAGTTTTTCAACATCTTTAGAACTTTTAATTGTTCCATCGATTACAAATTTGACGATAATTAATCCGGTTGAAGTATCTAATATAAAGATTCCATCGGGTATTAATTTGGCTGATCCAGAGTTTAACACACAAAAGGAAGTAGAATTAATTATAGGTTGCGAACTCTTTTTTGAAATTTTAAAGCCAAATCAGTTTCGATCGGCATGTAGTAATTGGTTGTTTCAAGAAACTGTATTTGTCGTGGGAAGCTCCGATAATAGTACAAATAGAGCATATTGTGGATTAGTTCAGATATAAATTCGGAAAGCCTTGATAAACAGCTACAAGCATTTCGGAATATAGAAACTGTTGACGAGCCCTGTGTTGAACAAAGTGTCGAATTTGAGCTCTGCGAAACTCAATATAAAAGTACTCATTATCGAAATCATGAAGGGCGTTACATAATACAGTTGCCTTTGAAAGAGGATCCCGCTTCGCTCGGTGATTCTAAAGCCGTTGCCGAAATGCGTTCAAATCAGTTATGGAAAAAAAAAACTTTCGAAAGATGAGGAGTTGCAATTACTTTATAAATCATTCTTAATGGAATATGCTGACTTGCAGCATATGCAAATAGTTGTAGAACCTCTTGATAAAACCGCTTCATATTTTTTACCTCATCATGGTGTACTTCGCCCAGATAGTAAAACCATAAAGTTGAGAGTGGTATTTAACGCTTCCTCCAAAACAACATCGGGTCTTTCTTTAAATGATATTTTGTACAAGGACGGTACTATACAACAAGATTTATTTTCAATACTTTTGCGATTCAGGCAACATGCTTATGTGTTCACTACTGACATTTCTAAAATGTATAGGCAAATTTTGATTCATCCTGATCATCGGAGTTTACAGTTGATATTATGGAAGAATAGCGTGAATGACCTATTGCAAATCTTCAAACTTAACACTGTTACATACGGAACTTCTTGTGCACCCTACTGAGAAACCGTTGAGTATGGAGCATTTCTACACATGCAATCAATTTCGGGAGAAACATCATATACGAGACTTTTGTGCAGCAAATCCCGTGTTTCACCAGTAAAATCTATCATGATCCCTCACTCAGAATTGTGTGCCACTGTTTTATTGGCACAGCTTTTGAACAAGGTTCTAACCTTGCCCATTCAACAAATAATGTGGACAGATTCAAAAATTGTGTTGGTATGGCTTCAGCGGTCACCTGATCAACTCAAGACTTTTATCAGCAATCGAGTTAAAGTAATACAAGAACTAACTAAGAACTGCCATTGGAATCACGTTGCATCTGATAAAAATCCTGCAGATGTCCTCTCTCATGGTCTGAATACTTCGAAAATTTCCTCTCATGAACTCTGGTGGTTCGGACTAGATTTTTTGAAACAAGTATTGAATATTGTTCCAATAGATTTTGAAAAACTCACTTCGGACAGTGAATTTTTACAGGAACTCAAACCCCCTGCCAAAATACTTCTAACTTCTTATAAACTTGACTTAATTGACAATATTTTAAATCGTAGCAATAATTATACTAAAATTTCGAATGTTTTAAGTTATGCTTTCAGATTCATATTCAACTGTATAAATTCAGGTAACAAAAGATTTGGTAAGTTATCCTCTAATAAACTAAATGAGACGGAGTCCTTTTTAGTTAGAAATGTACAAGCATCTGCTTTTAAGGAGGAAATAACGGCCATTTCCAAGGGCAGGGCTTTTTAAGGTAAGAGTAAACTTAACTCTTTAAATCCTTTTCTTGATGGTCATCAAATTCTCAGAGTGGGTGGTCGTTAGCATAATGCTGCTCTGAATTATTCTCAAAAGCATCCAGCTATACTACCTGCAGACCATCCTTTCACTAAATTGTTAATGACTCATTTGCATATCAAAAATCTCCATTTAAGACCTCAAGCGTTATTATATTGCACTAGAGAAAGGTTTTGGCCACTTCGTGGTCGATCGATAGCCAGGAAAATTGTTCATAAATGCATAGTTTGTTTTAAACATAAACCCCTTCTTACAAGTCAACTTATGGGAACCTTGCCTCGAGAAAGAGTAAACCCTAATTATCCTTTTTTGCACTCTGGTGTTGATTATTGCGGCCCTTTCCAAATTAAATATAAGCACCAGAGAAAAAGGAATTTCCAACGATAATCGAATTCCAGAATTTAACTAGATTTCCTGACGATAAACTAGCATCCTATTTGGCATCTGAAGGGATAGTTTGGAATTTTATTCCTCCCAGAGCTCCAAATTTCGGGGGCCGCTGGGAGGCAGGAGCCAAATCATTTAAGTTTTACTTAAAACGAGCTACAGGAAATCTAAAATTAACATTTGAGGAATTCCATACAATAGCAACACAAGTCGAAGGAATCCTAAATTCTCGGCCATTAACACCTTTGACAGATGATATTGATGACCTGGATGTTCTGACACCAGGGCATTTTTTGGTTGGAAGATCTATAACTGCCATAGCTGAGCCAAGTTTGTTGGATAAATCGGAAACCCGACTTTCTCGATGGCAAAGGTTGACAAAAACTGTTCAATACATTTCGTCTAAGTGGTCTCGCGACTACCGCAACAATTTGCAACAAAGAACAAAATGGAAGGTAGAGAAAACAAACATAAATTTAAATGCAATGGTTTCAATAAAGGAGGATAATCTTCCTGTAAATCAGTGGAGCTTAGGACTAATTTTAAAACTATTTCCTGGAACGGATGGAAAGGATAGAGTAGCGGAGATTAAAACAAGCAAGGGAATTGTTAAACGTAGCATTAGTAAATTGTGTATTTTGCCATTGGACAATTAAGAAAAATTTATGTTAATTTTTTCATTATGTGTACCTACAGCATTTATTCAATCTTTGTAAATATTATTCAACGGTGGGTGGATGTTCATTATCTCAGAAATATAGCGCCAACTTGGCATCTTTGTCTTAGCATCCTCGCCACCGTTTCTTGTAACCCCAAACAGTTGAAAATTAGTTGTTGTTGTTATAGCATCAGCGTGCTCGTAGCACCAATCATAATAAAATCTTTAATACAGTCCAATCGCTATTTTATTCTATTGTTAACAAACGAACCAGCATAGAAATCAATCAATTGGTAACGAACAATAATTATTAAATAAAGAAAACCTAATAATTTTTTTCTCGGCCATAAGAAAAACAGTTTTTAAGTCAGGCATGAATACAAAAAATCTAAAACAACCGAACTTGTTACAATCAATAAAGTTTGAAAGAAAAAAATGCTCTGGGGGAACACCAAAAATCTCGGTAATTTTTACCGAAGAGATTTGGTAATTATTTTGGTAAAATGAGAAATTGAATATGTTTTTTTAATANGATAGAATCAGTCATCTAAGTATCACTTTAAAAAATATTATTTATAAGACTGATCAAAGGCTTAAAATATCATAACAATTATGGAAATTAATATTAAATTAAAACCAATAAAAATAATTTTTTAATTAAAACAACCGATTGTTGTAAAAGCACGCTCATTTCAAAATTCCATTAATGCTTTTCTTTAAATTAACATCCCATGTACAGTACGCAAATAAACGGACCACTCTGAATGACTTTTGATCTAATGATCGGATATAGGGCATTAATAAGTGCAGAAAATTTAAGTTGCGAAATCATAGAGACTGTTCAATATCTCAGAAATATAGCGCCAACTTGGCATCTTTGTCTCAGCATCCTCGCCACCGTTTGTTGTAACCCTAATCAGTTGAAAAATTAGTTGTTGCTATTATAGCATGAGCGTGCTCGTAGCACCAATAATAATAAAATCTTTAATACAGTCCATGATATTTTATTCTATTGTAAACAAACGAACCAGCATAGAAATCAATCAATTGGTATCGAACAGAGACAAAAACCCATTTCCTTACATAAACAAAAAAATTTGGCGAAATCGATCGAATCGTTCCTGAGAAACTGAATTATATAAAAGTCACATTATTACAACACGATATGCTCCCCTCAAATTCTGTATTTTACCATGTAAAATTATATTATTTAAAGTAAGGCAAGAAATTGTATACCTTTCAATTCATAATTCCTTCGATAACTAAGCAACATAATAAATATTTAATAAAAGTCATTATTTTTTTCATGGAATTATCTTACGATGAATGAATTTCATAATTGTTTGCAAAAATTTCTCAATTCGCCTAAATTCCCGTGAAATGGCGATTTCAGTAAAAAATAAAATAAACATGGAGTCCAAGCTTTGGACCACTCTTCTGACTAAACTATTGGGGCCATATTTCACACATTGTGGCTATTTTAGGGGTCAGGAATCCAAATCTAGGGGAAAAAAGTAGGTTCATTCAGAGAAAGTAGATTTTTGTGTCTGATTTCGTAACTTAAATCCTCGTCTGCTCTAATTAATTAGCATATTTAAGGTCAACTCCTCGAATCATTAGGATAGAGTCCTATATTGATACGATCATTGGATCAAAGGTTATTTTGCTAATTTCGTAACTTAAAACGTAGTTTGCACTAACTAATTAGCATATTTAAAAACACCTTCGTGAACCATTACAATTGAGTCACGTAAGTGAAAATCTGAACATTAAATCAAAAGTTATCCAGGATAGTCTATTTTTTTAAACACTGTACATGTTGTTACTTCGAAGGTAGGTTTAAACAATAAACAACATTCAACACCAATGAACAGCTTACTTGCAGTTTTGTAACGCCATAACCATGATCACAAAACGTAAAAATACGCAGGATATCAAAAAAAAAGTGAGCATGCGCAAGGGCTTTAAATCTTAAGTAAGGAATGTACAGAATGTAACATAAAAGTACAAAATATCCCTTTAATGTAATTTATTAATTTTTCGGTATCTGAATTATCAAGTCAATACAATTAAACAACCACAAAATTTGTTGAGAGAAACATAATTCTGAACTTTAACTATACGGACACCATAAATACTCACATTACCTTGGTTAATTGTTGAAAATTCTTGGTTACTCACGCACTTTGACTTATCACACCTTGAGATTAGCTAAGCAATGTTAATATTAACTGCTTAGTGGTGGCACATATATTAAATCTGTTACATTTTAGTATATGTTTCAAAAGTAATTTATAGAGAAATGTGACAAAAAAAGAGAAGGAGATAGTTAATCATTGGTGCGAGAAAAAATCCTTTATACCAGTAAGAATTGCGTAAGGAAAAAATTCTGATTGCTATAAAAATTGAGTCATATAAATTAAATCATAAAAATATGAAAAAATGTAAATGTATTTCTTACCAGTACTAAATCCGTACAGGAGAAGAGGAGATGGTTAAACATTTCACGAGATGTTTGAAAGCGTTCAACAGGAAGTCTGTAATTTTTGTAAAGCCTCAATGCGTTATCCAGTTCCCTCCTGCTTAAAAAGAGCTGCAATAACCAATGACAAAAACTTTAAAATTAAAAAAATTATATTAATTTATGGATATAAAGTAGTCTCTGCTTAATGAGATCCCTTTGGAGGGACACAATTAATTTGATAACATTAACCGATTGATAACAATCAATTAATCTCGAAATCATATAAATTTATCAATCTAAGTCACACATACTTAATTTGAAAATAAAAACCTCACTTCATATGTAATTTATGGATATACAGTAGTCTCTGCTTAATGTGATTACTTTAGAGGGACACAATTAGTTTGATAACATTAGCCGATTGGTAACAATCAATTAATCTCGAAGTCATATAAATTTATCAGCTTAAGTCACACGAACTTAATTTGAAAATAAAGCGCTCACTTACTATAGCTTTGATTTAAAATATAAAAATTATACATAATCTTAAAAAAAAACATCAATATGGTTGCCTGCGTTTTTTCTAACAAGCTCAATTGTAAATTGTTCGTAATCATAATATTTTTCAATTTCATGTGTGGGGTATTTTATTCCACATTTTAACACTTTCATTTCATTCCTTATTTTAGATTTGTTGAAGGTAGCTCAACATCAATAAGATAACTTTTTTCTCAAAATTTTGCAAAACAGATGCTGAAGGATTTTTAACTGTGCTGCGGCGTTGTATTGACATATTTTTGGGGTATTGATAACATTAAACGACGTAATTATAACAGAAAGAGCTGATTTTAAATATGTAAATCAAGGGAGAGAATCTGGACCGAGATGATTTTGCTAAAATCAAGTGACTGATAACATTAACCGCGAACAAATTTAGTAGAGGCTACAGCGTAATATTATTTAATAACTTCTATCCAAGATGCAGAAAACTTTAAAATTTTATTTTTATTTATAAACCATGGGGTTATAAATAAAAATTAAATTTATAAACCATGATGTAACAGCTTTTATTCGGAAAGGAAATGGATCACGAAAGAAGAGAAGTGCCATTGCATGGTGAACTTTCCAGTCGTCTGCAATGTTGAGCTACTATTTTTCTGGAATATTTTATGTCTAGGATATTAAACTAACAATCCACTGACAGTCTGAGTTTAAAAAATTTAAACAGACACATTATATTTTTTTCGGCCGTAATCGATAATAGCCTTTGTGCGCTTTGGTAGCAAAGTCGGATAAGGCGTCTCTCACAGGCTGTGAGTTCAATCCTGGCAGACGGCTAACCAATAGGCGTATATACTCAGCATGATGCATGTTAAATCTGCTGTCGCTGAAAGTCCTTTCATTGGTTGCGGTGTGCAAGTTTGGAGAGAGGAACCAGTTCAAACGCTGTCCTCGTCGTCTGACCGGATTTAAAATTACGTAGCATCCCCAGCATGGCTTTCAAAAGAAAGAGTCCCAAACTCCGATAGATATGAATCTTTAGTAAACGTAAAATCTTTAGTAATCTTTAATAAGCTGAACAAAGAATAATTTTTGCTACTTACCAATAAATTAGGATAGCTTGAAAACTAAACATTTGAGAGTTGACATAGTAAAACAAACTTATCTACTCAGGCGTCGTGAATTAATCAACAGCAATACCCAGATATGGCAGGTCCGTCTTTTTAACTAGTAAAGTTTAATTCAGAGTTTGTCCACTAGAAAACATAACTAATACTTCAAAACTCGAAGTACCCAATTTTACCCTACTTTCTCCTTATTACCGGCAAAGTTTGAAATTCGGCATATCTCGGCAAAGTTTGAAATTTATATTTCACACTTTCTTTGGCATTCTATAGAATGCCAAATCAGAAACCGGCAAAGTAGGAAATACTTCCCCGCATCATTTCGAATATCACTTGGCAAGGCTCGTAATTTCTTATTTTCGAAATTTCATACTTATTGCCTTACCTTATCTTTTTATATGAAAATTTTGTTTTACTTAATAAAAAAAGACAAAGCTTTTGTTCTGTACAACTTTCGTTTTTCTTTACTTACTTCGAATAACTATTTAATGGTACTCTCATTGTTTTTTCCCTTTCTTTTAGAATAGCATTTGCATTTTTGATAAATGTCCGTCATTTATATGAGCCGCTCAGAAGCCAATGCGGTTAAGTCCATTTTTTGATATTTTCTGATTTTTGGAAATTTTGATGAAATAAATAATAATCTTCTTAGTTATTAAAGGATTTACTCGTTGGTTACTTTTTTCTAGGTTAGACAGCCCTTTTTTTAATAGCTTCTGAATATATTGCATAATAATTTCAGAAGCCATTGTGAATAAGTCCACCTTTTATCAATATTTTTTTACATAAACTTTGAAATAAAAATTAAATTATTCTTCTTCTTTCGATATTTGTTGGTAACACTGAAAAACAAGAAATTCATAGTAACTTAGTATTTTTAATACTACGGTAGTATTTTTTCTCCAAAAAAAGGGGTATGGTATTTTTCGTAGTATTTTTTTAAAATGTGGTATTTTTAGTTTTTTTTTATATTTATTTATTTTATTTTCATTTCCCAAAACAAAGAAAAGTGCCACTCTAGTTTTGAAGTAAAAAACAATTTTTGAAATAATCCAACAGTTTATTTTCTATTAGTCACTGTATCTAGTGATGATTGTGAAAAATAAAAGTTCGTTTATACTAGTAGACTATATATATTTCTTATCTTTTTCAGATGCCAAAAGGTATAAGTCCTAAAATTTTTAAGATGCTGTCATTATTTCAATAAATACTTACGTTTTTATTTACACATCCTGTACATATCTTGTTTTTTTTGCAGAGTTTATACCTCGAAAAATACTTTATACACTTTTCTAATTAAATTAATAAACCAAGAATTTTAAAAACTAATGTATCAAAAAACATTAATTTTCTCAATTTTTGTGTTTTGGACTTAACCGCATTGGCTTCTGAGCGACTCATATAATAGTCATGTCAGGACCTTTTCTCATACTTTGCCCAAATAGCATTTGTCATTCTAGAGAACACCTAGGTATTATATACAATGCCTAAAGAAAGTGCTTGCCTAAAAATGTCCAGCATTATATACAATACGCAGACATTCTATAGAATGATGTCACATCATACTTTGCCGGTAACATGTACACTGCTGATAGGTGTGTTCGCGTCGCAGTAGAATCAGGGTAATTACTTTTCGAACTGACAACTGTATCTTGAAGTGAATAAATAAATGTTGAAAAATCTTACCCTAGAAAATGTGGCCAGTAATCTGTAGAGTCCTGCAAACATGGATTTCTTCTTCTTCTTTCCGAGGTCGAAACGTTCTATTGCTTTCTCAATCATGTCATCGTCGTCAATCTTACGACCATACAACGCAATCAAAATAGCTTCATTTATTTCAGAATTTTCTTCCATTCTTTCAAGAAGCTTAAAAAAAGTCATTAATTATGCAGCTTATATTCTGAACTGTTTAGAGAAAAAGTAAATTAGTATTATTTAATTCAACAGAAGTATATTTTTGAATTGGAAAAGGCAAAATTCTACATTTTTATTTCATATTCTTAAGACGCTAGTAAAGATGAAACACTGTCATAAATGCACCTCTCTGTTATAATACTCCCTCTGTCCCAAATAAGTTGCTACGTTTGAATACCTTTTTACTGATTATTGATACCAGGAATGCCAACTTTGCACCACTTTTTGCGAAAATTTGATTTCGTTGCAATTAATGAGTAAAACTTGTAAAACAGGCGATAATTTTTTTTCTTCCGAAGTCTCCCCACAGAAACGTAACTGATTTAAACATAGGATACGGAGTTTCTTGCTCGATGAGCTATCTACTCTTTCATCTAAATTGAAAATTATAAAATTAGGGAACAGGGTTGCGTAGCGTAAATTTGCTATATAATAATAATGAACATGATGGCATACTGACAAAACACTAAATTGATATATACAAAACATTGAACGGGAATAAGGGAGAATACAGTTTACAATATTTACAAACATGCAATAGATCGAGATTGGATGCAAATCAAAGAGCATCTCGAATCCTTGCATCATGCTCCCTCGCATCCCACCCGAAGGGCTTCGACGGTGCAGAGTGACACACACTCTTGATGTGTTAAGTAAATTAATTTGAGTAACTGCAACATAGCTGTATTCTATATAAGGCTTTGAATTTTTGATGGTGGAAAAATTACTTACAAGAAAATTAAGTAAGCAAATAATAAGTTAAATTTCGCTTCCACAAGAAAATATATTTTACAAAGCGGAGTACGTTTGCATCTGTGATTGTAACTGATGATTTTATGATTTTGTTTGAACATTTTTTTGAGATTTCAGTGTGCTATGCTATCAATCTGCAATATTTACTTATAGTGCATTCCCTCCAAAAGTCTAAGATTAGTACGCTCTTAAGCCGCATTAAGCCCAATTTTCTATGAACTCTTTCACTAGCAATTGCATTAAAACTATTTTCTAGCTCATAAATCGTGAGTTCTTTATTTGTATAATTTCGAAGGAGTCGATCTACGAAATTGCATCGGAAAAATTTATGATTCTATCTACTTTAAAAGCAGCAACTAATTTGAGACAAATTTTCGACCTAAATGTAGCAACTAATTTGGGATAAATTTTCGACCTAAATGTAGCAACTAATTTGGGACAAATTTTCGACCTAAATGTAGCAACTAATTTGGAATGGAGGGAGTATAGTTTATTATAAAATTAAATGGAAAATCTTATCTAAAACGTTGTGAATTCCAGTTTGTATATTTATGGAAATGTCTTTTGAATAATTTAAAACTTCCTTTAATGATAATCATTTTGAGGTATTTATTATTTTACTTCTAAATCTGTAGACAAAATAGGAAAAATAATAGTTTTATATTCTTAGACTCAATACTTAAAACTAATTACTGTAAAAATTTAATTTAATGTCTTACAATATGATTATAATTTTGACGTTATATTGTTTCGATGGAAATGAAATATCGCTCACTCTTTTAAAATTTGGACTATTATTGCTTTTGATGCATGCGTTATTGTATGAATTGTATAACCTCTTGCCGAATACTGCATTAGTCCACAGAAATTAGCAAAGCATTATGTTGAAATAATTCTTCATATAATAATATATTTAACCCATTAATGTCCAGTCGCGAAAATAGTAGTATAAAAGCAATGTGCTTAACTCTAGACTTCATATTCAAATATATTAATTTCTTAGTAATTTCTTTTAATAAAACTTAACAAATTGAATAAAGAAGGAAGATAAGTATGACAGCGACATCGATAGCAAAGAGTTGCCTACACGTAGCGTCGTTGCAGAACAAAGACTGGCGATTAAAATGAGATAGTTCTAAAGAAAAGAACAAGTCAATTAAATATTCCGGGACTTTTTCCGTTCAGGCACTCTGGAAACATGGATTCCGGGACTTTTCCCTTGTAGACAGTATAGTATAGTTCAACAGGGAAGTTGATGGTTTCGAGGATGATTGATAATGGTCAATTACAAGTACTACATATATATACACTACTGACTATTAAAATTGCTACACCAGGAAGGCGACAAACCACTAACGTGAAACTTGCAGGACGGATAAAGCTTATTGTGGTATGCAAATGATTAGCTTATCAGCGCATTCATGCAAAGCAGGTAGCGGTAGCGACACCTATATTGTGTATAAAAGAAGAGATTTGACAGTAAGTTTCTCATACAGAAATTGAATTTCAGCGTTGTTCTTGAGTAAAAAAGTTTTTGTTACATCTGTTCCATCATGAGTTTGATGCAGGTCAAATTGTGTCCAACCGGGATTGCGGTTTATCATACCAAAGTATTTCTGCCCGCGTTGCACGAGATCGCATGACTATTAGCAGAATATGAAATCGATGGGTTATTGACGCTCATATGGAATGCCGTGCAGGATCTCAGCGGCCCCCATCACTAACAACTGAGAAGACAGACGTGCTATCTACATGGCCTAAAGGGATCGTACGCACGTCACGAGCGCTGAGTCAACAAATTTGGTCATTTGCAAGACAACCAGTACCTGCGCGAACAATTTGACGGCGCTTGAAGCGGCATGAACTATCAGCACGGCGACCATGACTTCAGCTTCCCTTTTCGCTGCATCACAGGCCGGAGCCTCCAATGGTGTGATAAACGAAGAACCTGGATGTTCTAATGGCATGACGTCTTTTCAGACGAATTCAGGTTCTGTATACGGCATCATGATGGTCGCATCCGTGTTTGGCGACATCATGGAGAACACCCATTGGCAATTTGCATTTGACATCGTCATACTGGCCTATCACCTGGAGTAATGGTATGAGGTACCATTGAATACACGTCTCAGTCCCCTCTTGTTCGCATTGCCGGAACTTTGAACCTTTACATTTCTGATGAGCAAGGGTCAGTTGCTTTGTCTTATCTCCACGGCCTCCATAAAGCTACGTTTCAACAAGACAATGCACGACCACATGTTGCCCACATTGTCCTGACCTTCCTTGACAAGAACATGTTCACCTGTTGCCCTGACCAGCACGTTCTCCTGATCTCTCATCAAATGAAAACGTCTGGTCAACGGTTGCCGAACGACTGGCACGCCACCTTTCGGCAGTCACTACGATCGCTGAATTGTAGCATAATGTTGAAGCTGCATGGAATGCTATCGAATCTCTGTTCGACTGGATGCCCAGGAGAAAAACAGCTGTCATTGCTGCCTTAGGAGGCTGCTCTGAGTACTGATTCCGCTGGATCTATGCGTCAAAATACTCTGAAAATTCAATCACTTGCTCTTCCAACTACAATGCATGTGCCCAATAAATATCATTCTGTTATTTGCATTCCTTCTTGGTGTAGCAATTTTAATTGCCAATACTGTATATATATCAAGAAGGGAAGTTAAGAAAATAAATCACTAGCCCGAAAGAATAATAAAAGGTATTATTAGCCCGTGCACATATTCAACGGTCTGTTTACAAGTCCCTGTTCGATTTTTTTTGTATAAAAAAACAAATTAAATTAATTTAATTGAAAAATTATATTACAGAGCCTGCGTAATGCCATTTTGTGAGAAAACGATAAAAAATGAAACCGAAAATATAAAAAAAAGGCAAATGCCTTCGTATAGATTGCTGGTTCAGCGGATCACTGACAATTATTTTATGTCAAATATAAGTTAGTGGTCCGATGGGTCTGAGAAAAATTCTAGTGGTCTCGAACCAATATCTCACGGTTAGTTTTGAAAACTCAGAACTAAATCCTTTGCTAACAACATTTTTCTTTTTGAGAAATGGAACCGTTCTTTTAAAAATACTCTATGCAAAAATGGATTTAAAAATGTATTAATAATAAAGGAAATTTAAATGGGTTTTTTTACATCCAGGGCGTAGAACATCACTCGAGAGCACATTGTCGTAATGCCTCTAGGAAAGTATTTTGGTTTATATACTGATTCGAAACCTGAGCCCATTCTCCTCTGAAATAAGAAGAAAAAAGTCAAATTTCTTAATTAAAATCTACATTTAGAGGCCTGCAACGGGCGACTAAATATGCAAAACGTGTGAGCCAATAATTTTCAAAATTTTAATAGAAAAAATTAAAATTATCAACCTTTTAAAACAATATTTTGTTTTCATTTTGCTTTTGAAAAGGAATGAAAAGAATGTTTCTTATTTTAAATATGAATATATGAAATGTAAGTGTTAGTTGTAGTTACGTTTGAATAATCAGAACGATAATAAAAAAAAAGTTAATTGAGTTTCTATTAGTTTTTACATTTTTAGTCGCCTGTAACATCTCTGCATTTGTCATACACGAATACTATACATAAAATTGATCTTATAAAACACCAATGAAAATAAAATTGCCCTAATAACTTTTGAAAATATTAGTCGAATTTCTTTTCTTTATATCGTTACAAAATATATCAAAGAAACTTTGGCTGGGGATAAATTCAATAAATTAAATCAGAAGATTAGAAATTTTTTAAGAAACATTTTTATTAACCCTTTCCCTGTCGGATTTGTTTATTTTTTACGAATTTCGACCCGAAAGAAGCATTTTTTTATTAATGAAAATTAATATATGTTCTCGCTTGAATTCGAAAATGCAAAATATTTTTGTCAGCAAGCAGTTTTTTGCCTGACCTTTTAGCGGCGAAATATGTCGTCCACTAATCTCCAGTTTTCCCTGCAATGCACCCTAGTTTTATCTTACAAAAAATACTCAGTGATAACGTATTTATTAACTCTATTACTTTAAGGTCCTTTATATAAATATCTGCGTAATATATCTAAATTAGGTAAAAAAATACTTCAGAAAATAATTTTCCAACCTTATACATCATAGTCATTTTGACATGCAACGGTAACACTAATGAAAGCAAAATTACTGAAAGTGCAAAATTATTTTTATCTTTATTCAAAGCGGAAAATCTCACTGCGAAAATTGTGAAAAAAGTGGAATCAGTAGCGCCATCTCTCAGAAATATGCAGAAATACAAAACTAATCGCAGAATTTAAAAGAGACGAGTAAGTAACGACGAATTCAATTTCGATCATGTAATTTTTCTCTTCGTCGCATGGCATGCGACGATGACCATACGCAACGAAAACGTCGAACGTTGAGATGCGACGTCGACATAGAAAGGGTTTAAATGACTACGGCTAGACAGAGTACACAATTTAATATAGGTTGCATAATGAATAATTAGTGCAGGAACTTCGTTCTTCCGATTTTTAAAGCAAATATGTATAAATTAGAAATTTACAAAAATAATTAGAGATAAAATTCATTAAAAACAACTTTTAAAATCACAAATGTTAAAATTTCATTGACAATCTATGCCCATTTCAGTGTCACAATAGAACACCTTCATTAGTAAGATAAATGAAAGGTAAAAACTGATAGTAAAAACGGATGGGATTTAATCCAACTGGCTTTGCATCATATTAAAAAGATAAATATACAGTTAAATTTAACAATATTTAAATTAGAAAATATTAAAAAGTAATTGATTTCCATTTACTTTTTCATCGTCTTTGCTATTTTAATATATTTATCTATGCATATTACTGTATTTCTGTGTTATTGTATCTCTGTATTATTACTGTATATTTGTCTCTGAAATATTATGTAATATGTGTTCGATGAAAGAGATGTGTTCTTTGTTTTTAGTAAATCCCTTTTATTAATCTTATTAATGAGGGTGTGAGATCGTGACACCAGAACACGCATAAATTGTCAATAAATTTTTAACATTTGTGATTTTAAACGTAGTTCGTTATGACATTAGACAGAATTGTACTCTGTTATCTAAGAATGTAAAAATGTCACCCTTAAAAAAAGGTGGCATATTTTATATTGCTCCAAACTTTTTCAGTATGCACTTTATTTGCATAAACGCTTTTTGGATCCATTTAAAAAATTAAAACCTTTAGCTTTAATTAATGTTAATTTAATTATCTTTGCTTTAATTAGCTTAGCACTTTTAATAAAATCTTGAATTTTTAAAAGAAACTGCAAAATATCTTGTACCACACATATCAGTGATTGAACTGTGTGTCTAAAAATGTGAATATTGGTGGCTACAAAAAATATTAATAAATGGACAAAATTTTAAAACCAGCAGAACTCAAATTACTTTTTTACTTATCTCTTTCTTAATGCTCAAAAATCTTCCGATATAAAAACTTAACCTTGATTATATTTATCTATGGTATTAATTATGAATAATTAGTTAAATGGAGCAACTGAAATAAAATTTTAGCCTTTTCTCAGCACTTTAGCTCTTATGTTGCATAATTGAACTTATATCTATAAACACATTACATATAACATATTGCTCACTTCAATTTAAACTGCGAAACAAAAAAAAATTAAAATTGCATATTCATGATTACCATATAACTTATTCTGAAGTGTTTCAGAATAACATCAAGAGACAGAGTTGAGAAGGCTCCTGGCATCACCTCACTGTAAAGCACATCAATAAATTATTAATTACTTCTTAATACTTCGATATGTGAAAATTGAGTGAAGGAGTGATCAAAGTGACAATTTAGTCAATCTGAATTAATGAGCTTTAAACGTCATACTTTCACCATAAAAATGAATATTATCCTTTTTCCCTTGTTTCTTGCTAGAAATTGTTTACTTCATGTCATTTGCAACTCAAACGTGTTAATTTGCTGACAAAAGACTAAAGCTACTCGTCTTCAGTTTATTGCCGAATGCCCTTAAATAGAACTTCCTTGAGAAAACAAATTTAGAGGATCTTTCTATAGACTAAGATCTTCGGAATTAAAAAACTTAGCAACATCAATCAATGTGTTGTTACTAATGTCACTTGCCAATACCAGCAAGCCTACTTGAAATCAGATTAATTTTTTAGACAGAGGGCGCGTGAATTGTTATTTCAGTGGCGCCATCTATAACTAAGAATACGATTTCATTCACACACATGGAGCAGTCTATTTTATAGGGAGGACCCAATCATACTCCATTCATTTATACTCAGGTCGTAATTTTGAATAGAACCAGAGAATGATCGATCTCCAATTCAGTACCCCCAGAAATATTTTGATGGAAGTAGTGGGAGGAGTGGGGGAAACAACTAATGCAGCAATGTTGCAAAACTGCCCCATGAAAAATTACCCAGTGGTTTGGAAACCTTACTTTTTAAATTAGCTTTATATGTTAAAAATTGTTTATTCGGCATCTTACCTCACCCTGAATTTTTTTATGGTAACTAACTTAACGACCAACAGAATTTTCAATCACAATATCTTGAAAATAAACGGAGCAATCATATTAGTCCTTCTTTAATCTATTACTCCACAGAAGTAGTTCGGGACAGATTTATGACGGTTCAACTTAAGAAAACGAAACTAAACAAGTAAGAACCATCCTGATGGTTCCAACATGTCAATGATTATATGGGTTTCTTGCCTGCTAAATTTGCTAAAATTTCCATCTTGGAAATTTACTATTTGAACAGTCATTAACCAGCAAGATTCCAGTCATAGTATCTTAGAAATCTATTGTTGAAACATTGATGAATAACAATCATGGTAATAAAACGAGACCAGAAAAAAAAGTAGAAGAAGAAGAACTCAGTTGGATCGATAAATCTTAATTTTTTTCCAAAATGTCACTTTGACTCTTCTTCCACTCAAATTTTTAATTGCTATTATCATTACATAAATAGAAATGCATTTGAAATCTTAAAATTAATGAAGTTTAGATCTCATTTTAACAAAAATTTAAAAGTTTTGCCCTGGAAGTACTTTCAACGCTTGATTAAAGCTGTTGTAACGATTTAAAATTAGAAAATTATAGCGCCTTAAACCATTGCATGCAGTCGAGTGATATCAAACACGATTCGATGGCACTAGCAGATTAGAAAATGCAAGGTTTGCATCAAATTAAGAACTTGAATATCTTTAAAAAAAAGAATCAATAATGCTATGTTAGTTACATAAATGTCCTAGAACAGTTTAAATGTTAAGAGAAGATTTCTTACTGGAGCATTATATGAGAGCCAGGTAACATACATGCATTGTTAATAGTATTGATTAATTATAACTGCGCCTTACTTCTATTTGTTTATTTTTATTTTGAATGTATTTTAACCTATTCAACTATCCCGTGCTTTTTCATATTATACTTTTTATAAGTAAGCAAGACATTTTTCACTTAACTGATTTCCTATAAATCAAAACAAATGTAAAAAAATTCAAAAGTAAAGAAAAAAAATCAAAATACCAATGTGTTCGTAGAGGGCAATCCGGAAGTCTTTGTTCTTCAAACTTTTCAAAGCGGTAATAAATTAACACCTCAGAATATCTTATAATGCTTAATTAATTTAGTACTTAAGAGCCCTCTGCCTTCTTCTAGAAGTGATCACGTTGTTTATTATTTCTAAAGTCATAAATAACATTGGGGAACATTTTTTTAATCAAATATACTACTCATAAAATATTATTTTTTTCTACTCAAATAAAATTAAAACTATAATAAACTTGTTAATAGATTTCTAGGAGATTTTAAACAATAAATGTATGAGAGAAACTATGGGCTTTATGCATATTCCTTTTTTTTAACAATCCTACATTCCATATGTAAGAAAATGGAATTTTGCTGGAAACTTAATTCATAAGAATCTAAGGAAAAACTGAAATATTTGAAAAACTACACTATGGAGCACATTTTTTGTGGCATTCATACAGATATTTGATTTTTCCTAATTCGGGACGGAAAATTTTGTTCAAAAAGTTATCTCACGCACCACGCCCTACGTACTAGATAAGTTGGGAATATTGGGAATATTAGTAGTCACTTGAATGAATTTTAAAAAATTATTGAATTGTGTTAAAACTGTAACTACTCGAGAGAAACCAATAGCATATTTGAAATTAGAGATGCAAAAATACCTATGATCTGTTAAAAATTCTTATACAACATTAAACAAAATAAAAAATTTTCATCAGTGTAAGCAATGAATATCACTTTAAAATGAAAAAATTACATTGCATTTGTTTTTCCCTAAAGTAGGTAATTCGTAAAAACTAAAGAATTTGTACAGTTTTTCAAAACGGTTATATAAACAGTTATTCAAAAGTTTTAATAAAATAATAAGAATCTGTATTTGAAATGAAATATTTTCTTCCATACCCGACATTGCAAACTGTAAAATAATCTTCTTCCATCCTCATTGGAGCGTCCATTTCATGATCAATTTCAAAATCTGTTTCTCCTGTTCCACTCGTTACAGGACGAGACTAAATTCAAACAACATATTAAATGACAGTTTGGAACAAAAAACTCAAATTATGAGTCTTAAAGATGATTATCCCAAAAAGCTAATCCAAAAAATAAAGGTATTAACTATTGCAAACAGCTTTTTTGCATTTCTATGCATATTTTACTAGATCAGTACAACTACTTCCATATGCTGATGATATTGATATAATTGCTCGTTCCCTTCCTGCCCTGAAAGAGGCATTTCTTGCCCTTGAGGTGGCTGCGTGGCAAATGGGCTTGGTTATAAATTTAGAGAAAACAAAATGTATGTTTTTCTCAAGAAACAGAGTTCCAGACCACTATCTTGAAATAAATTCTTATAGATTTGAAACAGTGAGGAGTTTTACGAACTTAGGATCAATTATTACCATTGACAACAGAATTACTCCTGAAATAAAAAACCAACTGTATCTGGCGAATAGGGCTGTCTATGAGCTGAGAAGATTTATTAAATCTAGATTTCTTTCTAGCAAAACAAAGTTCTTAATCTACAAGATTCTTGTCCAGCCAATCTTGACATACGCTTCTGAAGCTTGGACAATGACAAAACTGGAGAAAAATTGTATCGCAATATTTGAGAGGAAGATTTTGCGGGGTATACTTGGTGGTGTAAATGAAAACAATAACTGGAGAAGGAGATTTAATTTTGAACTGTACAAGATCTATAAAGAACCTGATGTTATTAAATACATAAAAATAAATAGAATGAATTGGATCGCCCACGTGACTCGAATGAGTGACAACAACACAATAAAAAAGACACTGCTTTTTAGACCCACTGGAAAAAGAAAGCGGGGAAGACCGCGGTTGAGATGGGCTGACTCAGTGGAGTCTGATTTTCTCGCAATTAATGAAATGAATTGGAGATCAAAGATAAATCGAAAGTCGTCATTGATGGTAACATTATGCTTTGGTCGTCATTCTCACTAGTGCCTCTGGAACCCTCAGTTATAATAGGAATGATCGTGAAAGATGTGGACTATCTGAACATCAAATGCACCCATAAATGGCGTTCTTTTCCCAACTTGAAATGGAACTTCCAGCTGGACAACGCTTCAATTGTGTTGAAATGGTTCAAAAAGCATAATGTTGTTTTATAATTAATGTCCTGGCTACCTAACTCTCCAGATCTTAAATCGATGAAGCACATTTGGGATGTCATAGAACGGCAGCTCTAACAACACCATGCTGGAATGTCTCAACTTTGCGTGACCGCTGCTTAGACGTTTGGAATAACCTTTTCCTTGTTATCTAATCATAAAATCAATTCAATTTACGAGGTCAATTTTGATGCATAAGAGGTAAATAAACACTTTGAAACATTAAATCAAATTGTAAAAGCGCCAAACCAAATTTGTTTTATATAAAATAGAAATAAGACATATATGAAATCTTTACAATTAAAATAAAAATGAAAATATAAATATGAAAATATAAATGTGAGTGTTTGCAGAACAGTACTTCACACATTTATATTTTCATTTTTATTTTAATTGTAAAAATTTTATATATGTCTTATTTCTACTTTCCCTTGTTATCTATCAAGAATTTATAGCATTCCTGCCGGGGCAAGTTTTAGCTGCTTTCAAGGTCAACGTGTTGTTGAGCAAGTGATCATAAAGATTCAGTTCTTCAGTATATATCACTAGCAGAATTTATACGGCTCTTAAAAAATTTAAAAACTGATGCTGATATTCTAATATAAAAAGTTATAAATTTCTTCTATTAAATTTGATTTAATAATTAAAAATTCTACACACCACATGTTGTGACTAAGTATATTTATTTGCAAATATTAGATATATTGGTTAATGCATATTTATTAAAAGACATTTTATTTTCCAAATTTGTTGGAACTTTTTAAATTTCTTAAGGACTGTATAGGACTAGGAGTAGGTATGTTTCGTTAGCCTTATAATAGGAGCAAATCTACTTAACTAAACCATGAATGTCCATATCCATTATCCATATCCATAGTAGTATCCGTATAACTTCCATTAATTTATTTACTATTAATTGTTACCATAAAATAAGTCAATTATTTTATAGTTTGCATAGTATTTATTAACTACTATGGTGTGCGCTGTTTAATAGAAAACCAAAAATCATAAAATTCTATAAAGGTGACAGGTATGACACAATACATTCACTTGTGATAACTACAATATCCTAATTTCTTATAATTCGAGTATCCTAATTTTTAAAACTAGTGGGCTGCGCCTCCTGCTCGCTAACGCTCGCCAACCCCCGAAAATTGCTACGCAATCTTATATGGTTTGCTTCGCAAACCAATCTCGCTTCGCTCGCTACTAACTTAGGTACATTGCAAATGCTCAAAATTCTAAGAATTCAAAACAATCATTCAAATCCATTTAACAACTTTTTAAAAAATTACATCTTTTTAGTAAATACTAAGTCATTGAAATAAATTTGAATTCAAATAAATAACATGTAGTTCGTTAAACCTATTAGAAATGTGCTATAATATAAAATCTTAAGATAAAATTTCTAAAACTGATATCTCTTTAAAAAGGTTAAAATTTTGGCTATAATTAAGTCTATTAAAAATTGAAATAAGTGAATTACAATGGAAAAACCTGCATAAACAAAACATTGAATTTCGGAAGAAAACACATTTGGTGAGAATGTTCTCTCTTGTCAGAAAATACAAAATAAACTGACCTCAAATAAAACTCAAAAGACTTCGAATCAAATAATTAAGGAAACTACTATCACGTTTAATATAAAAGGAAGATTTATTAACTAAACAGAAAAATTACAGCATCGCAGTTCCAAAAAACAAATCTCTCACTCACTCAAAAAAAANAAAAAAAAAAAAAAAAAAAAAAAAAAAAAAAAAAAAAAATTACATTCTAAATAGTCACCATAGCAACCACAACAGCACATAATATTTTACACTCTGGTTATTTCAGTTTCCGTTTTTAAAAGCGCTATATGTTGAGCCATCACATCTAGATTTGGCATGTGACATTTTTAGCTGCAATCATTGGTCGATTTTCTAGCGCTGCCATTCAGGGAGTTGCAATGAGGCTTTTTTTATCGCCGTGTAAGAGAAATACATATATAGATTTTTATAATTCGAATAATTTTTATAACACGAGTTCTTAAAACGTTAATGCGGTGCCCTACAATACATAAGTAACTATGTATAATAGGGCAACAATGAAGAACTTATCAGGAAATAATTGGCTCTTACTTGGAATATATACAAACTGTTGTTCCAAAATCCCCATTCTATATCCCTATGAGATCTGTAGCTCTTCTCAATCTGAAAAAAATAAAATTTCCTAAATAGTATTTTCATTCAAATCCATATCCATTAAACAAATTTGATTTGTACTGAAATATCTATATAAAAAGAATGAAGCGTAATCAAAAAGATAAAAAAATATAATAACAATCAATTACAAAAGACAGAAAATTTTGATCACACTTCTGCAATCGCTGATTCCCCATTGATCATTTCCTTTTTCTGGATAACTATTATAACCACCACAACATATCAAGTTAAAGGGTTGCAAAAACTGTATCAACAGATGTTGCCCTTATGTCATCCAATGGTCTACGTTGGCTTTAAATTCAAGATTAAATTTATATTAAAATCTCCAACAAGACAGCAATTAAGAATAAGTTAATCATAAAGAAAGCATAAAAATAGTTTATGTAAAAAAATTAAAAATGCACAATGGTAGAAACAAATAGAAAAAGCTGTCTGTAAGACAACCAGCTCCAAAAAGTTCCAAAATTATCTGCAACCTTTTTCTTATTTGACCGTGTTGTGTTGCTTTTCTATTAATTATGTTAGTCTGATTCTTTATGACTCTTACAACTCTTTATTTGTAATTATAGTGTTGAAGTTGATCTTGTAACAACGTGTGCGGACATGAAAAACGTAGAACAACACCCATTTTCCCAATGGATAAAGCAAAATACACAGAAGAGCCATTGCATTATGACCACCTTCCATCTATAACAATGGGCTCGCCCAGGTTTTCATGGTTTCTCGCCCAGGAACAATGTTTTCATGGGGCACATTAGGACACATAATCCTCATAGAACAATCCCTGACGTCTGTAAGCTACTTGAACATAGTTGCAGACCAGGTTCACCCATTCATGGCAACAGTTTCTCCTGCGGGGGATAGTGTTTACAAATAGGATAATGCACCATGTCATAAGGGTCAAATCGTCGAGGAACATTCCAGTGACTTTCAAGTCATGTCTTGGCCCCCAAATTCACCTTACCTTAATCCAATAGAGCATTTGTGGTCCTACTTGGAAAACCAAATTCGTGCTGCCACGCTATCCCCTCGCAATATGAGGGAATTGCTGGACCAGTTAGTTAGTGCTTGGTACCAGATATACCAGATGCCTCTGACTACCTATCAGCACCTTGTGGAATCAATGCCACTACGGGTGCTAGCAGTTTTGAGGGCTAAAGGTGGTCCTACATGTTATTAGTAGGGTGGTCATAATGTAATGGCTCTTCGGTGTGCATATTTTAAGCAAATGTCAGTGCCGGAAATTCAGCGTCCTACCAGTCTGGTTTCACATCAATACCTTATCCCTAAAGCAGGCATACATTACATGCCTAAATATTTGAAAAATGTAATAAATGTGGATGAAGGTTCTAAGTGGCCCTTTGGAGAAATATAATAAATTAGCTTTAACGTTTGAACGTTAACAATAACAAATAATGATTGTGCCTAGCTTTTCTTTCCTTGTTCGCAAATTCTCAGTTATAAATCCCTGAAACTTATTGAAACTGTCTGCTTCAAAAAATTTACATTTTTGGCGTTTCAATTTACTCTTAGGAGACAGGAATTTTTATAGTAACTCACAGATTATTTGTGTCGAATTCGCTTGGAACCTTTATCGACTCTGAAAACCGTCAAGATTTTTGTTGCATTGATACAAGTACTTGTTTTTACCTAATTCGAGAGTGGTGATTTCGAATCTAAAATCAGCTTTGTTCGAAAGCTACAGATTTTTTTTTCAAAATGGCATTTTTATCTTATTTTATTTTTCGTCCAAATCGTCCAATTAAGTATCATATAAGTTTATATGTTGCATATATTTAGATACGTACACACATATATTGTATGTATAGATACGAACATACACTGGTCTGCTCCACTGAAAGCAACACTAAAGACAAAAAACATATAACCTTAAATCATTGCATCATAAACTAATATGCATTATCATATTCTTTTTACATACCAGAGAAGTGAGAACAGTCTTTGTAGTGAATCTAAAAAAAACCTTACTTTGGACTATTCAGGTTGTTTTAAAAGGTCATTGCCAAGCTTAACGTGCCGGTCTATCATATCATCACAAACAAGATTTGCAAAGGAACTTGAGTTTGAAAATGTAAACTGCGATCGCTAGCAGGACGTTGCAGAAGGACGAATCGCTTTACTAACGTAGAATTGGCCGATATGATTTACGTGCACGTGTATGATGCTGAGGGTGGAAATAGATTCTACGATTCTACATTGAACGCTTTCCAAACAGATGTCAGCCAAGTAGTGCTTTGCCTGGGCAATTGTTTCGCAGATTGCCTTAGGCAGGAGCTTTCCAATTGCGTAACCACATCGATCGAAAACGCAATACACGCACACCTGTCTCAGAAGAAGCTTTTGTACGAGAATTTGAGAGGTACCAGAACACAAACCTCCTATCACTCGAACTCATCTTCAACATGCATCGTTACAGCAGTCTGTGCACACTACACGGAAACACGCTACACCGTTAGCACGCCCCAAAGGTGCAAGCAGCGTGCGATGATGATGATCTCAAACGTGTTGCATTCGCAAGTTGGTGTTTGTAAAAATTGGTAGAACTACCAGATTTTCCATTGTGTATTTTGTTTATTGATGTATCTTTTACACAAGATAGTGTTCTGAAACTGCACAACAAGAGCATGAATCCCAAGGTGCACCCATGCCCATATAAATCAACAACGTTTCATCACAATTATTTGTATCGGAATTATCGATGACATGTTTATTGGCCCTTGTCTACTACTTCAACGCTTCGATGGGAACACCTATCATACTTTTTCTGAAATAGTGTTGTCGGATCTGATAGTTGACTTTCCTGCGCCACTCGCTGAAGCATCTGGTTTCAGCACGATGCATATTTACACAGCACATTGCACTTTGCCAATCCAGCAATCAGGATAAATCCCATCGAGGTATTCGTGCACATTTTAACAACGCTGTGCAGGAATACCTCGATCGGACTTATCCTGATCCCTGGAATGGCAAAGGAGAGTCCATCACGTGGCCACCACAATCCCCTGACCTGACTCCCCAGAGTTTTTACCTGTTGGGATGCATGAAGTCCGAATTGTATGAGACGCCCGTAACATCGGAAATGGATATCGTCGCCAGGGTCATGAAAACAGCAGTACGTTCGTGACATACCTGCCCCTTTTGAATTCACGAGTCAACATTGTGAGGCTTGCTTTGTTGCAAAGGAAAGAAATTTCGAGGATTTTCGGTAATTTAACCATATTCTCTGATAAAAGTCATGTTAAGCACCTCGTTTTACGTGATTTTTCCCCTATACGACAGCGAACATTGCCCGCTAGCGTTCACAATTTGCATTTTCGATCACAAGTTCCTATGTATATCTTGTTCGTCGATGATATGACAGACCACCACGTTAAGTTTTGCAACAACGTTTTGAAACACACTCTCTATATATTTTTCGATTGCATAAAAATTGTAGCTCATAGAGAGAAACCGACTGCAGATTTGAAATCAGGGATGCAAAAGTATAAGATAATTTTGGAAACCCTTGATATGAATCACTAACTTCTAAAACAACTGCGACAAGACTAGTTCCTGAAGTATATCCCTGAAATATATCTTTGATCCTGAAGTGCATCTATACTTACTTTGACAGCCAGTTTTCCTAAGCGGAGTGACATTTCGTCAGTTAAACAACATGAATTCCGATCATTTTCTGAAATATCTTGTACTTCCGTTCCTCCAGATTTATTCCCTTAGATACGAAATATATTATAAAGTTTAATTAAAAACAATAGTATATTATAAAGGTTAAGTAAAAGCAAGAGTTTACTATAAATCTTAAATAAAATTTAAAGTTTATAATAAAATTTAAATAAAACCAATAGTTTATTATAAAGTATAAATAAAAGCGATAATTTATAACAAAGTTTAAATAAAAGCAATAGTTTCGTATGAAATTTAAATAAAAATAAATATTTAATTATAAAGTAAAATAAAGCTAAATAAAGTTAAATTCAAACACTTGCTGTCCAATTGGCAAAATAAAAAAGTGAACACCGCGATTAAATTTCGATCTAGTGATGGTATTTTCAAGTACTAAGACTTGGCTTAATCGAGTCCTTAAATATTCTAATTAGTTACCTCGGACGATATTTTAAATTACGAAATAAGACACAAAGAAGTTTTAACTTTAAATAAACATGACTTCTTTTCGGACGAATTTGGATTATGACCCCAAAAATATAGGAGGGGTTCCGCAATCTGGAGAATAATGTCCCAATAGTTTTGACAGAACAGTAGGAAGTTATCCCCCCCCCTTAATGTTTATTTTCGATTTTGCACATTTCAACATATCTCAAGAATTTTTTAAGCGAATCAAAACAATTTTGCATACTTTTTTTCTTACAAGAGTGAATTTTTACTAACCGTTAATTAATTTCTATTATTTTAATTAATAATAGGCGAAAATAGTGTGTATTTTAAAGTACAAAAATTTGACATCATTTTAAGGAATACAAACAGAAAAAATTAGCGAAATACAAACAGAATATTTGAATAGTTTCTGAGCTAACTTTGAATTAGTCATATNTCTCTGTAAATAATCCTTCCTTTAGCAGCATATATCTTGGACGATTTTACATGACATTATTGGTGGCATGATTTTAAAGATCATGCTTAAAGGTTTTAGAAATAGTGAAATTTTTATCTACGCAAAGTGTACATCGACCAGACTGAGTGTGAGAAGTTAAATGCTCTTTCTTTCAATATCACTAAAATTAAAAAAGCACTCTAATATAAATATTGCAATCCTATAGAGTTATTTCAAAATTGCTGATATTAAAATTGAAACGAAGATACTTCAAGAATGATCCTTTAAACTGTGCCAACAATTTTACCCTGTAAAATTTTTCGAATTACTTGCTGCTCAATGAAAAAATTTCCAAACAGAACTACAAATGTTTCCATAATTTTTTTCTACCACTATACTTTATAATTGCGTATTTTCCATATTTTACATTTAATTTGAATAAACACTTTACCTAATGAAAAAACCTTTATAATTAAATTTATAATCTTCTTTTTTATTATGAAACTTTTTTTTTAAAAAAAATAATAGGTTGTTAATATAATCACCTTGGAGTACAATTCTTTGACGTTTGGCTCCAATTATTTTGTTGTGAACATACAAGTTGTCTTCAAAATCTCTCATCAGCTCAACTGTGTCTGGTTCTTCTGACGCCGAAACAACAGACTGATATAAAAATAATACAGAACATTTCATTGTGTCACTTATTAGAAAAAATAACAATAAAGAAAGGCGAACGTACATAACATTTCTTCTGTTTTCTCTTTTATTTTCACGAAAGCGAAATCATTCATTATTTATAACAGGGTTGTCCAACTGGCTGACCGCGAGCCGCATGCGACCCGCCAACGCATATTGCGCGGCCCGCCAACTTCTTATTTAGGCTGATCGGCCTCATTTTTCCCATTAAAATGTAAGCAAATTGCTTTATAATCCTTCTGTTCCATTGTTTTATAATTAATAATTCAACTATAAATTGTTATTGTGTAAGAGGTTATTGTTCAACTTTTTCAAACTGCGGCCCGCCAGGTGATCAGTGACCGGAATTCTGGCCCGTGGGCTCTTTGCAGTCGTGAACTAACATTGCTTTCGTGAACTAACATTGTAAAGTACTTAATTATAAATTGGTCATTGTTTAAATAAATTATAACGAAAGTTCTAAATAGTGTCCGGTAAATAGTAACAGACGATTCCGAAAATATTCAATTAAATTTAAATTTTTTTTAAAAAAATGTAATGAGATTAGCATTAATGTAATTGAAATAAATCCAATGAAATAACAGCAACAAAAAAAATTATTAATTAACATTCAAAACATTAAGCAAAACAATTAGCAAATTATAAGAGCCCTCTCAGCGACGAAAAAAAATGAAACATAAAAATATACCTTAATAGAGGAAAAACCAGCCTAACGCGCCGGCTCCTCTTCATCTACTCTTTCTTAATTCTTTAATTAGGTTCGCCTTCTAACGGTGAGCCAATCACTACAAAGTGCTATTAAAGAGAAACAAAAGGAGAAAGAAATGTACGGGTATTTTATACTTCTAAATTTTTAAAATCTCTCACAAAGTTTACCAATGCATGGTGCTGTTATTTGAAAAATTATATATTGATATTTTCTGTTACATTTCAAACCATTTCAACTAAATAAATTTGTGTGGGCGCATGTTAATTGCATCACACGTCAGATTGCTCAGTATGTTGATTGCATCATACTCAGATTTCAAAACACCAGCCAAAAAAAAAAGGTTTTTGTTAAAATATAGTTTAGTAGTTTTTCTTAAAAAGCAGCGTCATCTGTTGGCATATTTAATCACTAATTTTAAAATAGGGTCGAGATAAATCATCTGGTTTCCTAAGCAAAAAGAAGCAAATCTTAAATTTCTAATGCCTAACTCTTTCTAGTTTGCACTGAAATTTTAAACCGTCAGTCATTTTGGGGTAGGTACTAGAACTTATACACATACGCAATGTCAATTCTTAATTAATTGCTAGTATTTTAATACATGTAACAATTATAAAATTCACTAATTTGAAAGCCCACCTCTCCAAGTCCATAGTTTGCGGTGATGGTCATCTTAGTTGGATTTCCAGTGAGGGGATCACAAGTGAATAATACACCAGCCACGTCACAGGGTACCATCTTTTGTATAACGACAGCCATTGGTGAATTTATTATTTGACCATTCTGCCTAAAAATTAAATTTTATTAAACAATATTTTTTTTCATTGCAGGCGAAAGGTTTATAGCAACACTATTTGAAAGTTCTCTGAAGAATTGATTAAATAAAAAGTTTTAACTATTTGTTTTAACCATAATATACCAAAACAGCAAATAAAACAAAGATGGTATTCAAACTACAGTGAGAAAAAACCGCTTATTGACTGTATTCACATATTACAACTAAACAAACAGAATTTTAACGCGGCAACTGAGCTCTGCTTATAAAGCCACATAGTTCCTTGAAGTTGGGTACATATTATAGCCTATAGGGCTAATCTGTCAATCTCATGACCGGCTGAACAGGGTTTGAATCCCAGCAATAGCAAAACATTATTTCTTCCATTCCTGCAACGCATAAATAGTTTCCAGTGTCCTGCACTTTCTAATTGGTGACCCTGAACTATTAGAATGCAATACCCTCAGTATGAAACCATCAAGCTACTTAACACAAAAAAGTATAACAGTTTCCCTCTTTTATGTTAGATAGCTCCAAAAGATAAACTAATTAAGCTATAATCCTTGGTTCATTTGCAACCCAATTCTATTGAGTTCAGGCTTTTCATTATGTTCACTACATAACGAAAAACCTAACTCCAATGTCCAGTTAAATTTCATTTTTACGGTTTTGGAACAACGCTAGTTGTAAATGGTTAAAAAATGCAAAGTTTTGTATTCATAGTTTTTAAATCATACGAAATTGTAAACGGTTTCAAATTTGTGAAATTAAAACAATGCTCTTAACAGCAAATTTTAAGGTGAATTGGACAGACCAACGCTGCTGGTTATTTTTCCGTAATTTTAAAATTTAAATTCCAACAGTGAAAGAAAAACTCACTTATCATTTCGAGCAAGTAAAACAGCGAAAGATGGAGACGTAAACTAATAATAGGCGTAAACTTTAAGCATTTTATATACTAAATTATTTTTATTACAAGAATTGAATCACAGCACATTCAACAAAAGTATTTGTATTTATATCAGAAATAAGTGGCTATATTATTATTTAAGGATACATAAAACTCACATAACTTTATAGACTTTTACAGAGATATAAAATTAACAAAATTCGTTATCAGAAGTTTTTATAAATAGAGAAGGATAAAGTAAATATAAAGTAAATACGTTATTGAGAATTTGAGAATATACAGACTAAAAAACGCATAACTGCTGTATAAGTATTTACTGTGAAAAAGTTTATTTTTCAAGTAATTAAGAACAGTTCTTTTTTTAGACTTAATTGCAAGCTTATTCTTCAGTTAATTTTATTTTTATTTCAAAAAACGTCACTGAAAAGTCGACCCAAATTTGGGTTTACGACTACTAATGTTCAACTTTGTAGCCTAGTAACTTTAAACCCAATCCAGAAGACAAGGGGACTCCTGGATCAAAGAAATTGGGAGAAATTTTACCTTCGTGTAAAGCCTTTCTAATAGATCTAAACCGCATTTGCCTTATAAGGGAAGGAAAACCACGAAAGTCTCCCACGGTTAGCTTGTCGGCCAGGTGCCTCTATCCCATGATCCGTCTACCAGTGAGGATATTTTAACGATAGCACAGTGGTCGGTGCGAGCCGGGTGCGGGATTCGTAACGACGAGTCATCGCTGGGATTCGAAACCAGTTCACCACATTTGGAGGGCAAACTCTCGATCCCCTGAGCCACCACGACTCTGTTAAGCGAATTGTGTATATTGATTATGTAATAAAGTAATTATTACAAACAAAAACGTACTTACTTTTTGTATTGAGTTGCAATGTGGCTAAACTGAGATGCCCAACATTTTTTCACAGCAGTGAGAATCTATAAAAAAAGGTTAAAAACGTTAGAAATTTTCAAACGAGTTTTTTTTCGTGCAATAACAAAAATGAATAGTTAGACAAATCTATGAGAAATTTTTTTATAATAATGATTAATATATAACACTGGGGAACATTTTTTCTTTTGTTTTCTGTTAGATCTCAAATACAACCGTATCACTGATTTCAAATCTGTAATCGGTTTCTCTCTCTAATCTAGAGTTGTTTTTTGCTTCAGTTTTCTTTCATTTTTTAAACTTGTAAATTTAAATAAATAATAAACTCAAAAAACTCTGTTGTGTTAGGAGCATAACTAATTTCGGATCTGTAAACCCAACACTCGAATTAGGCAAGATTAAGTACTTGTATAAATGCAACAAAAAATTTGTTTCTCTGGAAAATTACCTATTCATAAAATGTTGAAACAACAAAAAGATGCGAAATGGCTGAGACCCCTTTTTTATTTCAAGTAGTTTCCAATACAAAAAAAAATCCTAATATTTACTTTAAAAGATAAACTGTAATTTAATTTTGATATTAATTATTTTCGGTGGTTGATGAGTCCAGAAAGCTTATATAAGATAAAACAAATTCTTTATTTCTACAAACAAATAAATAAATAATGGATTAATTTGATTTTTCATCAATAGGAGCCCTATACCATACTCATATGAAATTATACGTTGTGCTTAACCCGAATAAAATCAAAAGTTCATAGAAGAGAGAAGGCCTTCGTACGGATCAATTTCGTAGTTCGGTGTAACTAATAAAAATTGTGCAAATGAGAAAAATATACGAAAGACGTCACAACGCTAGGACTTTCACATTTATGGTAACTCCTGCGGAGGTTTTCTCTCTTCTGGGAGGTTTTGATCAATATTTGCTACATTCTTATGAAGTAGGACGGGAATAACTGTAGTTTAGGTTAGAGTTCATATACCAGGATATGTTTTTGAGAGATAACTGTATAGAGCATACGGGTTTAGTCTGTCATTGACTAAGAGCCAAAGTTTATCAAAAGGAAACTGAACAAAGATAAGATTCACCTGTGGTGTTAGCATTGGAGTGCATCGATAAGGTGTCTTTGCTCAATAAAATCTCGAAACTATAGATGTGCCTATATCTCTTTTCTTTTGCCTCAGAAATTAAACGTAATTGTTCAATGTATCTATTGCACGCAAAATTTGAATTAAAAGTAGATATATTTTGTGAAATCGTTAGCCTTTAAAACTATTACAGCTATATTAGAGACTTTCATTAATTATTTAAGTTACAAATTTAAAAAAAAATCTGTTTTTGTCTTTTTGCTAACAACATATTACCGTTTAAATATTTTACGAACGATTCCAAGAACAAAATTACATTTTTATATTGAACTTGCTGAATACCCGTTTTTCATTCGGGGGGGGGGGGAAAAANGGGGTAAACAATCAATAACTCATGCACAAAACTGAAAGAGATATATAATAATGCAATAAATGAAAAAAATTTAATTTATTATTCGCCCCTGCCAGTAGCTTTACGTTAATAGATTAAGCAAAACACGTTTTTAGTAGTTCATCCTAATCATAACAGAGATTAATTGTATACTGTATTATTTGGAAAATGCTGATGTTTTCGAACAGCTAATAATAGGAAAATTTTCTACAGTTAAGAAATTTTCTCCGGAACTTATTCCTTCCAAGAGACCGCAAAAAAAACACATAAAAGCATTGATTTTGATAATTTAAATCTGCTTGGAATAATGTTGCCAAATTAGTATTTTTTTTTAAATTAATGACTTTTAAAATATTCAGTTATTTGTCCGCTCTAAGCTTCAAATAATTCTTTACAGCGAGATGCCATTTATATACTTTTATAGCTTTGTTTCAAGTGTTAAGGCACTGAACTTTAAATTTTCCTTGGCGAGAAGTCTCCGAGAAACCTTGTTATTAAAGCAAGATTTCAGGAATTTTTCGCCAAACGTGGCAACATATTCCGACATGATAACTATCACATCTTTAAAGTGCAATTTTCTAGATTCTTGTCCTGACTCTGCCTGCATAAAGTAATTGTAACTAAATGAACGAGGAATGTCAGTTTTGATTGCTTAATAACTATGGCATCCCATGAATTTTCGCATCTTCCATACGCATGTACCTGCTTTTACTCAAACAAAAACTGATAAAACTAGTACAAAACTCTTCAACATATTGAATCCACTTACATCATCTAAACCTGCAATCCCCAAGTATGTTTCCATTTGACCAGCTGCAGACATTTGTTCAGTATCTTCACCTGTGAAATAATATTTCATTGTTTGATTTGTGCTTGTGAAACTATATGTAGTAAAAAGTAATTCACAACAATTCTTATTAAGTGTAAAATTTTGCAACTCAATTCAATTTTGGAAATACTTTTTTGTTTCTAAACACAAGCAACAATTATAGTTTTTTTTCTAATAAAAACATTTTGTCATTTATTAATTGATTCAATAAAAGATATGTATCTGACCTGTTGCTGAAGATCTCACTGCAAATTGAATAACACCTTTCTCGGAGAAATGCTTTTGAAGCATGCTTTCAATTGCTTTCATAATTTCATTCGAGATTTCCGATTTTAAAATTTCATCCATAACCCTAACAACATTAATGAAATGAAATGTTAAAAATATAAATGAAAAATATGTATGAGAATAATAACAATATTGTAATTTTAAAAACAAATTACCTTTGGCATGATTCTTTAATATCTCCAGGAACATTTCCGCTAGAGGTTTAGAAATACATAAATACATAAGTACACTAACAATAAAATTTATGAAATCTTATTTTAACAATACAATGGTCACAGCGTCTTATCAAAATTAAAATAGTTGAGGGAAAACTTAATTTTTCGCTTATTTTAGATTAGACAATTGGTATAAACTATTGCGACAATTTAACAGCTTAAATAATCGTTCTTATTAAGAATTCAAGTAGTTCTAAAAACGATTAACAAGATCTTATTTGAAAATAATGGTGAATACTAAGAATTAAATTATCTTTAAATTAAATTAAAACTTGTGATTGTTAGTTTTGTAAAGTAGTTACTAAGTTAAAAAATTTTTAGGACTCAGAAATCTCTGTAATATCGAATAGCATAGCTGCCAACATATGCTTTTATCAAAAGAAATTCCCCTGTGGGAGCAAATTTTATGCGTTTTATTTTTCAATACTTGGCATGCATGCCAATTTATTTTGGTGCTTAATAAAATATCTGTTTTACACAACCACTGATTTGATTTTTTCTTGAAGATTTTCTTTTTATTATTAAAGTGGTAGTATAATGTATACATTAATATTTAACCTTTGTCTGGACACAAAGGTAAACAAATTATTAGTCAGGAAGTGGTGTTTGAAAACTCTGTCGAAATATGAGGACCAATGCAGTAAACAATTGAAATAATTTTTCCTTTAGCTTAAAAACTAGTAACTAAGCTAATTCTGATTGAAATGCAATATTTCAAATCAAAATTGCATTTAACAATCATTATTTTGCTACATTTTTCTTTTAAGCAGGTTTCTAGATAGTGTGTCTCCTGTATTAGAAAATAAACTTTCACGTATTTTTAGCTCCTGTTTCCAATTCATTTTGAAAGAATATTTAAGCTCTGATTTTATTTCGCTCTGATATTTAATTTAAAAAATTCTCCGATCTAAATTTTGAGAAATAAGTTTTATATTCAATTTCGAGAATGACTCTGGCTTAAAAAGCCAATGCGATTTAAATTTCTTACAACATTAACTATTCGATCAATCGTGGTATATTCTAAAAAATTATTTACTTATTTCCGAGAAAATGTAAGTATTATATATTATACAAATAATACACTAAACTTATATTTTTAAAAATTATATATTATGTTATTAGTATAGATAGACATGTTTACGGTAGTTGAAGATTATGGTATAATGGTTGTAATATAACAGTTAAGTTTTGCAGAATTTTCTAAAGATAAAACTATATTATCATTGATAAGCATAATTAGCTAACATAAAGATCTTTTCTACATTTTTTTAAAGTTTTAAATTACAAGATTTCGTGGATTAAAACGCTAATGTTGCTACCACTAAGAAAATTATTCCTCAATGGCTGTACAAGTTGACAGCTATGTATACATATTATATTAAAAATATATGAAGAGCTCTAATTTAATTTGTTATCACAAAGAACCAGATAAGATTTCATTTGTAACTGCTGAACATTTAAAATTTCTTACTATAAAACATTTTCAAGATTCCTTATCTCCTTAAGTACATCTTTAGTTATGAACTTTAGGTAAGCTGCTGTGGTCACCACCATGCCATTAGGAACAATAAACTGAAAAATAATTGTTATGAAATTTTTCAACATATATTTTTGCACTAAAGCTTTCGCAATTCAGATTTTAAAAAAAGGTGACAGTTGTACTTTGAAGCCAACAGCTTACACTTGATTGCATTGAGGTGGTGCCTAATATGTCCCACTCTCTCATATCCTCCTACTCTCCCATTGTATCTAAAGGAGATGGTGAACTCAAACAAAAACAATATAAAGTACTTGTATGGTTTGTCTAAGCTAAGAACTGCTCCCGCCTCAAAGTCTGAGGCTGTCTGGTGCTATGGAAACAAGACTGTCGCATTTTAGGGCGGGTAGCTTTACTCTGGGACTGACACAATAGATCGAAGAAAGAGATTCCCGTCCTCTCGCAAACCCGAGCCGAAACCACTCCAAAACAGTGACCTTGCTGCACCCCCACTTGAAATCGTCATACCTCGTTACCATAGTCAATGCCACAGGTCCAAACCAATGTCTGGGGGAGTTCTTATTTTAGACAAACTATAAAAGGTAGTATGAAGAGAGGCAGTGAGAAAACAGAAGCCTTCGAATGGCTGTAGTGAAGGGCGTTATAAAAATGTACCTTTATTAAGTTTGGAAGATTTTGAAGTGTAGTTATCCTCTTAACAATCGTGCCTTGGCCCCAGTTGGACTCAAACTTGATTTAATATGGATCCTATGCGTACCAGCACAGAGGGAGCAATATCAGGATGTCTAGATTTTTTTTAATATTGGTCCTAGAATAGCCTATATAGGGCCCATATAGGCTGAATAATAGATATAAAATATTGGGTGTATCTAACAATTCTATAAAGGATCGATATTGATTGTAAAGTGGCTGTAAAGTATCTGGTGAATCAGACAATTTTGTATGGGGCTAAAACTGGAAAAATAATGGCTTTTTGAACCCTTATTGAGGCAAGATTCCTAAATACTAGTCCAATGGGGGTCAAGTTATTTTGCTGTTAGGGAATTTTAGGCAAACGTGAGTGAGTACTTTGTTAAGATCTTATGTATTCTTTTCATAAAATTATATACAAATATGTGACGACAACCAGGGTAAGAATGACAAAAGAGGTAGCCAGGCTATTTCTTTAGCAGTTTATTTGTGGGTGGGAGGATAATAGTTTTTTTAATTAACCACAACTTAGTTCGAAGTAAAAAATAGGTATATTTTGAACTATATAAGGCAAATATCGAATTTATTCAAAGATGCCATCGATGAAAAAAAAAGTTTTTTTTTCTAGTGGTAACGAAATTTCAGTTTCTTTTAGTTTAGTATTTTTCAAATTAAGTAATTTTTTCACCAACACATATTAAAAGTTCGAATTATCATATAAAATACAACTTTATTGTATCCGTCCTGCAGTGACTCTTTTAAGGAGTAAACGTAATTATCCTTATATTAGATGTTCTACTATTTAATTCACTACCAACTTATTACATTTTTGCAGAAATCATAGCAGTTGGCATCTCTGTTCATTAAATATAGCCTTCTCTAGGGCCAATTTACTTCACTATTATGCCACCAAAAGCACACAGCGCTGCATTTGTCTTTAATTATAACTTTATTGGTATGGCAATCGTTTTCACTAGCTCTGTAGTCAAATCTAATCACCACGCGCTAATAATTTATTGGTCATGCAATCGTGGCATATTAACCAATTATATTCAAGCATTTATTTTATGACTTTGTAAGCCAATTATTATTTATTTTATTTGCTTAGATATTTATTTTTTTCTTCTTTTATCTAAATAATTTATGATTAAAACAACTTCATAATGAAGGAATACAAGATGGAGAGGTAAAAGGCTAAACTTATGATTAGACTAAGATTATGATTAGATATAGTAGAGGCCAAGCTCAAAAGCATATACATTTCTTAAGCTCAAAGAGTTTAGCAGAAGCAGCTTATCAATTAGTTTATAAGCTTAGCAGCTTTATTAAATAATTAATTGCAGCGGAGATGCTGCTATCATATTTACATAGCTACTTAACATTTGCTCAGAATTTATTTATTTATTTTTTGGCGTACAGTACATTAGATTGAATCATAATAGTTGTTATAATTTAATTTTAAATTTTTTATAAAAATTACCCAAATAAGGAATTTTTTCTTTATATATTAATTGCGGTTAAGTTTTGATGGCAAAATTAATTATATAGGGCGAGCAAATTAAAGGTTCCTGTAAATTCGACAATATTCAGAAAACTGATTCCTTTTATTTACTAAGATCGAGGCACGAAAAAGGCGTAAAGATCTCCGTACATATCATTACTAAACATTCGAATTTGACTATCAATTGAATTGAATTCAAAATCAAATTTTAGTTTTTTACAGAAATGTTTCCCTACAGTTTGAAATTCCTTGCTCAGTTCCGTGAGCTTTCCAAGAGAGGATCCCTTTCCACCAGTCATGGATGATTCTTGGCATATTTTTTCAGAAAAGTGCACGACCAATGGATTATCTGAAACAAATGTAACAGTTAAACCGAAATATGTAATAAGAATAATAATAATATATTATTAAACATTTATTTTACAATATACACTGCTTAAAACAATTGAAGGATGTTGAGGTTGCAGGTTGATCTTGCACGTGGAGAATTGTTTGAATGATTAATTCATTATCGAGAGACGTAGTAGGCTATATGAGATTAAAAAAAATGACATTTGTTTGGCAGAAAAAAATGTGCTTTATTGAGCATTTGAGTTCAAAAGGGAAAAAAACTCAATTTGAGCATATGAGAAAACAAATAAAAAAGTTGTTTTCTTAAAAGAAAATCGCTTTTAGTAGGAGGTATGATTTCACGAAACGGCTGGCGACGTTGAACACCTTTGAGGCATCGAGTCTCAGTGGTTATTAATAAGGGGCTGGGGTATTCTGTTCCACTCCTCCAGAAGAACTTTTCAAATTCTTGCTGAGTTTGTGGGGATGAAAAACATTCAGCAATTCGACTGCATAGAATGTCCCAAACATGATCGATTATGTTCGTGTCTGGAGAACACGCTAGTCAACCTATTCGTATGATTTTTTCCTCCAAAACGAAATCATTCACCAAGTTAGCACAATGTGGCCTAACATTGTCGTCCATTAACATGAAATCATCTCCAATTGCTACAGCGTAAGGGACCATAACAGGTCTCAGGATCTCATCCTTATATCGGTGACCGGTCAGAGCTCCATTTCGAATGAAATGGAAATCGATGCTCAGACCAATGAAGATGCCAACATAGACCATCGCCCCCCCACGGCTAAATCTTACATTTTCAAGACCGTTAGCGCTGAATAATGGTCATCATTAGGTGTTGTTGCACGTCTACGCCCATGCCCTGATCTGCAGCTTGCATTTCCAGTCTCCAAAAAACGGTTCCAGATCCTGGAGACTACTCTTGGTCAATGGCTTCTGCAAATTTAGCTTGTGTTCGGCTCCCTTCTAACTAAACAACTCTCCAAGCTCCTGATTTGGTTTATTGACTTCATTGAGACATATAATTCATCGAAACAACGCGATTACTGATTGTTTTCCACTCATTATTTTCCACTTTATTGTTTTCATTATTTTCCACTTTATTGATTGTTTTCCACTCATTATTTTCCACTTTATCTTACATTAAATTGAAAGCCAAATCAAATTTGCTGCCACTTCGACGCCAAACTCAAATTTGCATACTTCGAAGTTTGAAAGAAAGAAAAATTTGTATTCGTGACTTTCTTCTTACATTTTACGCAACAAAAAAAACCTTGCTTATACCGTTATTTTATAAAAGACTTATAAAATCCTTTAATTTTTTTGCGCAGCGTATATTATTAAAGCATTCGTTAAATAATACACATTCTTCAAATCTGCATTATTAATACGTAACGAGTTTGAGCAAAATTATGGTAACACTTTTATACTAACTCAATGTCAACAATCTTTCTTTTAGTAGCAAATGTTTTGAAAGGTATTATATGGAAAAACTATTGTCACAATTTGAAAGATCATGATTGAATCTTTTAGAAATGGTATCTTCTTTACCCATGCAAAAGTTGCGTCGACAAAATGATCGTAGGCAATAAAAGCTTATTTCTTTTTTTAATAGAGCTTTAATTATAAAAGCATTCTAATATTAATATTGCAATCTTATAGCATGATATAAAAATTGCTGGTATCAAAACTAAAAAGAAGCGTCCCTCTCCTCATTGATGCAAATTTAGGGTGGGTAAAAATGACATCATTTAGAATAACTTCCAGTATAATCTTTCAGGCTGTACCAACAGTTTTGCCATGTAAAATATTCCAAATCATTTGCTGCTTTAAGTAATCTTCTTTACATACATTTAGTACAGAATTCGTCCTATATTTTTGTCTAAACCCTATATTTTCTCCGAAAAACGATATTCAGAAAAACTGATTGAAACAAAAAACTAAGCTGCAAAATTTAGTTTTACGTGCATATGTAAAAAATATAATTATACAGTACGACTTGATGATTTCAACTGTGTGAAAACTTTGCTTGAAGTCGGTTCTGGACGCTGACTATGCTGTGTATTAGTCAGTGGTGTGCTGTGTAGTGTCAAAACTGTTGGCACAATTTGAAAGATTATGATTGAGACTTTTAGAAATGATGTCATTTTTACCCATGCAAAATTTGCATCCACCAAAATGAGTATTTGAAACTAAAATCTTCTTTGCTTATTTAATACCACTATAATTGAGAACGCATTTGATGATAAGTATCGTAATCGCTATATAATTATTAAATATTCCATTAAAGAACAACGATACGATAGTATATACGGACAATGATAAAATCAACGTGTTTGCTAAAACCATGCAAGATCAGTTTTCTTTAAATGCCGAACTTTATTGCCCCTACAATGATCAGTATGTTAAAGAGGAATTTCAAAAAATTATGAACACTCCCTGTTCTACTCAAGGCATTCAGAATACTAACGATGATGAAATAATTAATATCATTAGAAAATTAAAAAATAGAAAGACACCAGGGCATGATAATATTACTAATGAGATGCTTAAGAATGCCCCTCCAAATATAATACCAATACTAAGTAACATCTTCAATGTCTCCTTCAACCACTGCTATTTTCCTGATTGCTGGAAAAAATCAGATGTAATTCTCTTTCCAAAACCGGGTAAAGATACTTCAAACCCAAGTAACTTCAGACCCCTTAGTCTCTTGCCTACGCTATCAAAGGTTTACGAAAAGCTCATCTACAGTAGAATTAATAAATACCTTTATAACTTACCCAAACAACAGTACGGGTTCAGACAAAATTTGTCTACCACCAAACAAATTATTAACCTACTAGAATTCATTAGCAATGGTAAATATAAAAATGAAACAATGGCCCTTATCCTGCTCGACGACGCGAAAGCGTTCGATCGAGTATGGCATAAAGGTCGAATTGTAAAATTAAACAATATGAGCTTCTCTATTGAAATACTAAGGCTGTTAAGTTCATATTTAATTAACAGAGAATTTATAATTAAATTAAATAATAATTATTCTGACTACAAAAAAATTTATGCGGGTGTACCGCAGGGTTCAATTCTGGGCCCTGTTCTGTACATCCTGTACACTGCAGATTTTCCGACTAATGATGATAACCTAAATGAGTTTGTAGCACTATATGCTGATGATACGGCAATCATAACTAAGTCAATGAATAGAAAACGCGCTATTACCCTGCTACAAGATAAACTACAAGTAGTTGAAACATGGTGCAGCAAATGGCGCACAAAACTGCACCCCGACAAAAGTCAATTCTTAATCATAAATAGTAAGAAAAAACAATAAAATACTCCCCACATCTATCCCTTTAATACTGAGATCAAACCAGTGAAACACGTTAAATACCTCGGCGTCACGATCTCACATAATTTGAGCTGGAGTACTCACATAAACGACATAATCAAAAGAGCCAGAGGAGCGTTTTTTTGCGCTCAAAGTCCTCCTGCATAAGAATTCAAAGCTTGATCTAGCAAATAAAAGAACTATCTATATACAAGCGATTCGACCAATTCTTACGTATGCTTGCCCAGCCCTCACTACTATAAGCAACAACCTAAAAAAGAAGCTATCTACAACCGAAGGTAAATTTTTACGCACAATGACTGGCGCCCCAAGGGCGATTAGCAATAGATTACTCAGAAAAGACTTAAACATTGATGATATCAATTGCTTTATAGCTAAATTGACCACAAAATTTTACAGCGACGCAAAAACATGCACCACATCAGATTTCAATAAATTGTTCGATATTGATATAATCCGTGATAATTCGAATTTCAGCCCAATTACCGCCTTTTTATGCTCAGACTGCATACTATCAAAATACTATTAACTTTATCATACAACTCTACTCAAGGGGATCTCCCCATTCCAAAGATGATTTTCCCTTCAAAACTAAAGATTTACTTCCTTAAGGACTTGATTGGTCGTTACAACATACTACAACTTCAAAGATATATAGGACCTCCCAGAATACAACAAAACAGAATCGATGAGTCGGTTAGTGGCGCTTCGCGCCAAACGCCGAGATAACCCCAATATCCAGCATCCAGCTAATTATTAAATATAAACTTAGAAGACATAAACCTCAGCCCGATGGCAACTCATTTTTGTAGTGACGTAATTTTAACTAAAATACAAAATATTTAATTTCCTTTTATTCCAATTGCATTCCAATTACCAGAAAGAACCACCTTAAAGACCACAATACAAGATGATTGGGAAAAAGACCGCTAACGGTCCCAGGCGCTCAGATATATTTCGATGATGATGATGAATTATTAAATATTGCTATAGAATTATTTAAAAATTGTTGCTATTAAAAACATGATAGAAGTTAATAATTTCCTCACCTCATTTTGGTCAATCTGAACTTTGTCTGGGTAAATTATACACCATTAGTTTTACCATGTAAAAGCTTCTAAAACATTTGTTCCTAAAATAAAGTTTGTTTTCATACAGCTAGCTTAGAAGTGTTTCCATATTTTTTGGCAACCCCTGAATTTAAGGAAAGATACAAATATGTATGAAGAAATTCAATCCAAATTGTGCTTTTAATGCACGAATTAAGAAAATGCAAAATTTAAACTGTTCATATATTTACCTTCAGGCGTTGAGTCGATAGAATTATTCGGCAGAACTCTGTTTAGGGGGTTTGTGATAATTCTATAAAGATAAATATCGAAATTATGGTAGCACGGAATAAAAATTCTATACCACTTAGTATATACCAAGACATTCATAATGTATAAGTTGGATTAATATCAGCTTAAATGGCTGATATGAACATTTCTAAGAAATTCATAAAAAAATCCTAGAATTCAGAAAGACACAGCACAAAAAATAATTATTAACATGCAATTATTTAAACCTAGTTTTTAAATGTAACATATTAGGCTTAACGAGAACAGGGCTGTTTTTGTGGTTCTAATGGAATTAGCTTCTTTTTTTTTAATATTTTACTTGGGCTTCTTGGTATTACTCACCCGCTAAACTTTACACCAGCACATTTGTAGGAGTTCATGTTGAATTGTACGCAGTCAATCGTTACTCGCCCCTGCCATCCTTTTTTACTTTCAAAATGTGCTTTTTTTCCCGTCGAACTTCCTTCCACATTAAATGTTTCTGCTGAAAAATAAAGTCGTTGAGTAATTCGAAATGGTTGACTCAGTTTTTTTTTTTACGAAAATAAAGAAAGAAGCTTGTTTAGTTTAATCAAGCAGTAAATTCATGCAAAAATTATTTAAATATACAAAATAATAAAAATATAATGAAACACATACTAACAAATTGCAAAGCATTCTGATTAACGTTGATTAGTTGATGGCATATTTACACCTATTAAACCTATTAAATTTTGTTAGTTCGTTCATGTTGTTCATTAATGGAATCAATTTTAAAAGCTTTATTGCTCTGAAAAGCGTAACAAGAAAATTTCAAGTTTGAGATGACACCATCTTATCATCTCTGGTGTTCTATTCAGGATTGATTTATTTATGATGTGCATTATTAACTTACAAAAATCAAACAGAATCAGCAAAAATATTCACTCTATCACTTTCTGAAACACCATCGCAAGGGATTTTTAAATAATATTTTTCATTTTCTTGGTTCTCTTAGCTATTGTCTAGTAATCCAGCAAGAGTTTGACAATTAATAAGAATTGCTTGTTAATTTAGAAAGAAACTTAAACAAGTGCTGTGTTTCTGTAAAAAAATGGGATTTCCAAGAAAAGATGTGGACTTCATGATTTTCATATTTCATTTAAATAAATTAAATTATTTGGTGTTGCCCATTAATTGGTAAAAAAGAACTTTTTTTTCTAAATAAATGTAACATATAGTTTAGAAAGACTAAATAGCAACCTCAAGTTCTCAAGCCTGTAAGTAAGATAGGAACCAGAAGACATTGGTTGTAAAACCATTTCAAATAACACATGGAATGCCACACTAATTTTACATGGCTTGTCCGTCTTTCCAAACAGTAAATAACTACATGCTAAATTTGCAAATATTGGACATAATATGCTAGTTTTTAAAAAGGTTTAGCATGAACTACTAAACTAAATGACATATCTTACTTACTTACTTTATTTAAAAACAACTGGGCACCTGGGCCGCGCAGCGGCCACTATCCCATTCATCATGAAATTACAACAATGAGTTAAAAACATTTTGAATACAAGCAGTCGTTGTGGTAGCTTTACAATAATATTACCATGATTAGAAAAAATTACAACTTGAACAGAGATATTTACATTAATTGCCATAAATATGTACAGAAAATTGAATATGAGCATTAAAGATATAGAATCAAGATATATACAAATACAATTGACATTTTGGCATTGAATCGAGTTAGAATTACGTGATTTGTAAGACAAATGTGAAATGAAACAAAATCATGAAGTTTTAGCATAAGTTTTGCATTTCCTTAGTGGCGCCATCTAGCGTGGCAATAAGCAGTATTAAATTTAGTGTTGAATTTACCAGTTCATAAGTTCAGTAGAATAGAGTTCTATGTTGAGTGAAAACAAGTCAGAGGGAGACATTATTCAGAAGTGGACATGATTGTTTGTAAATGACATATCTGAAAAAGAGGTGATTTATATAAGCCTACGAATTGTTTAGAAATAGTGGTGGGGAAAAATCTACTAAATTGAATTTACTAAACCAAGAATCACAATTAATCAACTACCACTTGAAAATATTTATTCGCTGTCCGCAGCAAGTTGGCATCTCTGTGTATATAAATAAAACTATTTTCGTTTGTTGTATATTGCATTAATTTCTTCAAACCATTTTAGTAACGATAATAATACAAAAAAAAATTAAAAGCATTACAAATTACATCAAATTATGTGCTTCTAATAATCTTGGCTTCGTCGGTCACTGGTGACTCTCATGACATTCAACGTGTTAAAGATAGTTTCCAGGAGGAATAAAATAAGCTTCTAAGGTAAATGTTATCTATTCTAAAGGTTATTAAAGGTTTGGTAAAGGTTATCTACTTTTGTTTTTTCATTATGGGGCCTCGGGGCACTGTTAGTTTTGGTTAATTCCATTAACACTCCTGTGTGTTTGCAGGCAGTGTGTCCCCTGATGAAGTACTTTTTTGCAAACACACATTTATATTTTCATTTATATTTTAATTGTAAAGATTTTATATATGTCTTTTTTCAATAAGTTTTTACTAGTTATATGGTAAGAATTCAAACTACATATAAACATAGCTATTAACTCTTCTGGGTTTTGCGGCAAGATTTTATTTTCATAAATAAATTGGTAGCGTATAACATGAGTGTATAGCATGATATAGAACTATAAAATGTACACTCCTTATTGGAATTGCAGAAAATTTATTCAAAATTTACTTAATTATTGTGATTCTTGGTTTAATAAATTCAATTTAATAGATTTTTATCCACCAATATTTTTAAGCAATTCGTAGGCATATATAATTCACCACTTTTATCAGATATGTCATAACGGCTCCTCCCACTTTTTCTCACAATTCTTATAGAAACAGCAAATAACCAACAAATCTTCTCCGTCACCAGCATATGTGATGTCCCGGTCAAAATTGAAAAGTTCCGCGGCGGGAGAGTCCCGATTCAGTGCTTTGACTGCCAAAATTTTGGCCACACTCAAAAAATATGTAATTCACCTCCAAGATGTGTTAAATGTGCTGCAGAACATCGATCTTTCGAGTGCCACAAGGACATCAACACTCCACCTATGTGCTGCAATTGCGGGGAAACCCACACTGCCAACTACACGGGGTGTAAAGCCCGTCCCCCCAGGAGGGGCCCTCGTGCCATTCCATTCACAACTACAGGACAAGCTCACAGATTGGTAACGATCATCAAAGAACTTCATGATCTTTTAAAAAACAAAGAAGTGTTCCAGCTATTACAATCGATCATGAGGGAGACCACTCCTGGTGATATCTCTTGCCTTAGTTAGAGCTCTTATTTTAATCACAGAACTCTAATTTCGTATTTCCACACTGCTTATTTAACAAATATAGAATGTTTTCAGTTTATTCAATTTCGAGTTGCATACATCAGATGGTGCCACTAAAGTTTGGCAAAACCAAAGATTTATGCAGCTCGACTTATGTTTTTATCTATGTATCATCTCGCTCAATAATTTTCAATTGCCTAATTTCCATTTCACCTTTCATATTTCTATGCATAATATTCATACCAAGCTGCATTTAATTACTATTACACATCTCTCAAATTTGGTTGAATTCATGTTTCTTTTACAAATAATAATTAACGTATCTATCTCCAATAATATTTGTAAATAAATACCAACGTATATTTTTCAAATCATGCCTGTATATAATTATCATATTTCTTTGTAATACAAAATGTTTTTAATTTATCAAGCAAAGAGCTTGACTTTTTTTTAAAAAGCTAGCATAAAAAAGTTACACTGCATTTTCAAATCAAGCTATTGCACATTTCACTAATTATGTTTGAATACAATGTTTCTTTTTCATTGATCAAGGTTGCAAATAATGATTAATGTATTTATCTCCAATTATGTCTGTAAATAAGTACCTATGTATATTTTCAAATCATGCCTGTATATAATAACCATTTTTAAATTGATTGTAGTACAAAATGCTTTAATTTAGCAAACAAAACGCTTGACTTTTAGAAATAGCTACCATACTGTTGCTAAAATCAAAATGTCTTTAAATCAATGTATATAATATTTCATGATGTATGGGATAGGGGCCGCTGCGCGGTCCAGGTGCCCAGTTTTTGCGAAATAAAGAAAAGAAAAAAAGATATGTCGTAAACCTAAGCCTTTTACAAACTAGCAAAATCTGTGTATATTTGCAAATTTAGTTTGTAGTTATTCACCGTGTGGCCAAACGAACAAGCCATGTAAAATTAGCGTGGCATTCAACGTGTTAATGATATGTTAGTGTAGCGCATAAATTTTCTTTCGAAATCAAGCAACATTCTGCTTTTGAAACGAGCCCTGCACAAATCTTAAGAAGATTAATTCTCTGTCAAATCGGCTGAGTCCTGACAAAGTGCTCGTTTTATCTCTTAATTAATAAATTTCCGATAAATGTGGTATTAAAAGATCATTTAGGATCTATTAGTTAGTTTTTCCTCATTAATTTATTTAAGAAACCAATGATGCAAACACGTTGCTTACTTCTCTAACAACAGAAGATTTTCAAAATGCAATTTCAATAATTTGCAGAACCTATTTAAGATATGTTGATTATTTGTGATGGCCAATAACTTACATATTATGTACATCATATAAACGTATTTTTTCTGCAAAAGCATCACAAAGAGTTTTCAACCACTAAGTTGCTTAAAACAATAAAGAACACCAATGAAATAAAGTTATCTGTTTCCATGATAACAAATTTTATACCTTCAATGATAAACTTTGCTTTAATGTTATCTTCCATCTCACCATCATCTGTGGAGTTTTTTACAACAATGTGAATGTCATCAGCGGCGAACATTGTGCCAGTTGGTCTTACAAAGAAACCAAATTTCAGACTGAAATTTTAAGAAAATTAAGAAAAATTAAATATTTGACTTTGAAAATTCAGCATGCTAAGAAAAATTATTAAATGACTAAATAAAAATTTATAATTTAATATTATTGATTTTTCTAAAATAATTTTTCAATGCAAATTCATTTATAGTTTTGTAAATTATTTCAATTTAAGATTTTGAACCTTAGTACTAAAGGGATAGAAAATTCCTTCCTAAAATTTAATATCTCCATTTAAATTATATAAAATTAATGCAAAATAATTTAACATTACATACTCTTTGACAACATTTTCTATTGACACATCAGAAATATGAACAAAACTTCCAGTCTGCAAATTTTAAAGAATTGTCATTACTTTCTTTTATAAACTTCATATGTCTTATTTTATGAGTTCTATTTACGTGCAGCTTATGTGCAATAGATAAAACTCATTGTTTTTCTTAATTTTTTTCGTATTTTTTGTATTTAATTATTATGCTATATATATATATATATATATATATATATATACAACAACTGTGCGCTTGTTATTCTCTTTTAGTTATTACGAAGCACCACTTTCACCAAGTGCGTATCGAAATTACTTATCTTATCGAAGGTAAGTTTTCCATGAAATCACAGTTAAACTGAAATGTATCCTGGAGTGTCATTTTTAATTCATTTCTATTTTTTCAGCAATCACTTGGATCCTAGTGTACCACCATCACCTCCTGTTGAGCAAGAAGATTTTGCCAAAAAGTATTTATTTATTTTTACTTCAATAACTCTAGTTCTCCAAAATTAAAATTTACTTCTAGTGTGATAACACCTTATTAATGAGGCATTGTTGTCTTCTCTCCTTTACTTACAAGGGAGATTAGGGATTAATTTGCTAATTAATTAATTAGCAAATTAATTAATTTGCAATTACATACTCCAATTGATTTGGAAAAAAAAGAAGGGAAAAAATGTGATGCAAATTTTTTTTTAAAAATTAGCCTGACAGGTTTTTCTGAAAAACTGCAGCTATATAAAATATTTGAAATCAATTTTGAGAATAAATATGCATTATATAGTAGGTGAAAGTACCACAAAATTAGTTGGAGTATGAGATAATTACACTAACTAATAGTCTGCATTGAAGTAATAAAATACGGATTTTTCTATATATTGAATTATTTTTTATCTCTCATAGGACCTTCTATAGGCCGAAACGAATGTTGCCTCCTAAAATTGATCCACATAAGGCATATATCCCACCAGTTGATTTCAAAATGGGCGAGTCACACTTCCCTAGTCTTCCTTGTTAGACTTCGTTTTATTGTTTTTTGTTTGGACCTAACTATTCTGATATTTTTCACAGTCAGCATAAAATTTTGCAACCTTAACTAAGATTGAAAATCTGAAAGAATTTTTAGGGCTTTATTTTACACTAACTGAAAACTTACAGACAACTTCTCTGTGTTGAAAAAAAAAATTGTTTTTGATAAGTGACATCAAGCACATAAATGTTCCATACAATATTTTTTTGAAGGGTTTTATTAAAATGCATACGTTTTTCTAGCAAAAGCAATTCTATAACCAATGGTTGGAATCTGACTTTTTATTTTTGTTTCTTTTTTTTATTTGTACCTATATCAGTCTATTTTATGAGAAATAATTGAAAGAAATTGTTAATTTATATCCCTTCATAATTTTGGTAATTTCTTAATGTTTTAAATTAAAATTATCCCTTCCATTATTTTATTCCATTCACAAGGTTATGTATTGGAAGAAAATTTTAGTTTCTTCCTTGTCAAATAATGTATTTTGATACGAAATGAGAAAAGACAATGACTAATAATTAAAAAATAAAAATGTTGAATCTATACAAGTGCAAATATGGTTTAAAATGAATTTAATTTTATTAAATTTCGTGTTTATCAGTCCTCTTGATCACTGCAACAGGGTTGCCACAGGCGACTAAAATGCAACTATTTTATGCCTGAAAAGGCTAAAAAAAAAAAGCAACTATTTTCNCCCGGTTATTACATATATATATATATATATATATATATATATACCTCATAAATCTTAACACTTCTAACAGAACCATATGAATTCTAGATCGTTGCAATTTTCAAACGATAATTTTCAACAGTTCATGATATTCTGATTATTAGTTTAGAGGTTGCAAGTGGTTTTAGTAAGTACAGTTTTGAAATTTATTGATAAAAAAGAATTTCATGCATTGATTAAGCATTGTTTTTTGAGGGAGAAAGTTACTGATAATACTAAAAATTACTTTGGTTGGAAAAAAGTTATGGCAACTCGGTACCAGGGAAATCAGTTATTATTGACTGATATGCAAAATTTAAACGTGGTCGTAAAAACACTGATGCTGCTGAACACTCTGGTTGTCCAAAATTAGCTGTTGTCCCAGAAGAATTTGAAAAAGTTCATAAAATAGTTTTGAAAGAGTGCAATGTAAACTTGCGTGAGATTGCTGACACCTTAAGGAGATCGGAAGATAGTGTGTTTACAATTTTTCATGAAAATTTGATCGTGCTCGAGTTGTTTTCGAAATGGTTACTGCATTTACTCACACCAGACCAAAAAAGAACAACATGTCTATATTTCAGGACACTGTTTGGAACTGCTAAAGAGAGCTAAAAAGAATTTTTTGCTTCAATATGTGACGATGGAATAAAACATGGATCCACTACTTTACTCCTGAATCAAAAAGATCTTCTTTAAAATGAACAGCAGCCGGCGAAAGTTGTCCGAAGTGACCAAATCCTCAGCTGGTAAGGTTATGGCCTCCATATTTTAGGACGCGCATTTTATTCCGTTCATCGACAGTCTTGAAAATGATAAAACTATCAGTGACGAATAATTATATGACATTATTGGATCGACTGAGTGAGAAAATCAAGAAAAAGCTGTCTCCCATGCAAAGAAAAGGTTCTGTTTCACGAAGACAACGCCCCTTATCAGGAGTTTGTGAAAACGATGGTTAAATTGAATGAATTAGGCTGTGAATGACTTTACCACTCAGTCTACTCTCCAGATATGGCCCCTGGCGACAACTAGCACTTTACAGATCCCAAGGAAAGAAATGCAGCTAAAATAACAAGTTTATTGCTGAAATCTGCCTATTTTGAGAGCAAAGATAAATCGTTCTACAAAAAAGGCATCGAAAAGTTAGAGGAGAGTTGGAGTGAGTGTATTCCTCTTGATGTTGATGATTGAAGTCAAATTTCAAATTTTTTTTTCTTAGCTATACCGGAGACTTACTGAGTAATATACATATATAACTGAATAAACTAATCCTGACCAGTGTCCTCAAAAAACTATTAAAAATTGTAGAAAAATTTCTGAAACAACACTCAAAACTCACCTCTTTACCTTTACAATTACTTAATCAGTTAGAAAATCCCTGAGAGGGATTTTTTTTTCAGAATATTAATTTAGAAAAGTAGTGTAGTAAGTTTTCCGACTTTCGTTTAGAGATTTTACAACTAGTTTTTTTTTCTAAGAATGCTCCTCACTTCTGATTAAAAATAATGAAATTCTACTTACTCTGTGTGTTTGTCCTAAAATATGTAAAAATTGCCCACGTTTATCGAAAGAAGAATCACCTAAAAGAAAAATGAAGAAATTTTTTTTCTCTGCAATTTTACTGCGCAATACTAAATTTATACTACAAGGTTTAGTCAGGTTTTAGAAACTTTAAAAAGTAGTAAAAATACGGAGAATATGTTACATCACTTAAAACCTCGAACTATTCCAGGCTGTTGCGTATCATTTTTGTTTTTCAGTGGCATTAATCTGAAGTGGAATTTTGAGAGACAAATAGATTTAGAAGAAAAAAATTAGTTTGGTTTGTTACCTTCAGAATTGATTAGCTTTTGACTTATACACTGTATTCGTTTGTCAAATTTATATTTTCACTATTTTTTTCCAAGGCTTATGACTATGTTTGATTACATATAAAAATGCTTACCCATGAACCGAATTCGTTCTCCAAACAAATAAACTTCAGAAGCTTCTTCATTCTCTCCAATCGTCATTGTTCCAAAAATTACTCCGCATTGTGCATAGCAGTTAAGAGCTCTATTGAACCTATTAGCAAAAAAAATGCATACCTATATAGATTGCTCTATATAAAAAAATATGTAAATTGAAAAGAGTACGTCGCAGAGTCAACGATCGTTAAATATTTGCTACTCCGAATTGTGTATAGCAGGTAGATGAGAAACCATTCTGATTTTAGATTCCGATATGTGTGTGAGTAAAAAATTTAAATAATCAAACAACGCTTACAAATCTTTATTGAATCAAGTCGTTCATTTGAAAGATGCTCGAAAACTTTTGAATTAACTTTGTTCAATTTTCATATTTTCACTTAGAATTACACTTTTAAAGTGATGTTACAATGTGTATACATTACAATACAAATATTTTAGATTCGTACTTTAAAAAATAATAAATTTCTATTGAAAATTAATTTTTGCAATGAACTATCTTTGAATAAACGAGTTTTATAATTGCTTCAAAAAAGATTTTGATTCGCTAATTCAAGTTTCTGGCAATGAGGAGAAACACACAATAAGTGAAATTAACATCAAGTTTTCGACTGGTCTCCTGATAAATCTATAGGAACAACATTTTCCGAATTTCTTGACTTAAAACATCGTTTGCGCTAATTAATTATTATATTAAAATTTAGGCCTTCAATTCATTAAGATTGACTCTAGGTAAAAGAAAATCTGATCATAAGTTATTCAGAATGGTCACCTTTATTCTTTTTCTTTTTTTACACGGCAAATAAGTTCATCAGCAGATATGTGTAAGCTTTTCCGTCTAGTTATATGCAATGATATGCTAGGTTTACCCCTGACTTCAAATCTAGTTTTACTTATGAATACCAAAATTACAAAGATGAGAAAATATTGAGAAAAAAATATAACTCATTTAGATCCTATGATCAAATCCTATGACGAAAAAGTATGAAATAAATAATCTTTTTAAAAAACCTTTTTATGGAGTTCCACGAAAAAGTGAGACATCAAATATTGCGTTTGACTTATAAGAATCAAGCTGATATAGTCTCAGTCAGTTTTAGTTTAAACTTTAATAGAAAACTGAATTTTCATATGCTTTCTTTAAAAATGTTTAAAGCAATTCTTGCAATACTTTATATAAAATGAAAATAATACGTGAAAAATTGACTGAGACAATATTAACTCGATTCTTATAAGTTACACCGTATAAGTTAAGTTATAAGTTAGTTAAGTTATAGGTACACCTTATAAGTTAGTTGTTCTTATAAGTCAATTTTAGTTAAAATTTTCACAGAAAACTGAATTTTACTCTAGTTTCTTTAAAAATGCTTAGCTCAATTCTCGCAATACTTTATATAAAATGAAAATAATACGTGAAAAATTGACAGAGACAATATCAACTCGATTTTTTTTAAAGTTTCATCCAAAATATCATTTATAACTTTTTCATGCAGAATCATTAAAAATTAGATTTTTTAATTATCTTTCTAAATTACTGAATTCTTATTCTGCAGAGTTACACATTAATCCTTAGGCGTAGATGATACACCTATGTTCCTTTTATGCATTTTTTTCTAATGCTCCAATTACAAGCGAGAATATTTTTTGGTATTCTTTAATTGTATGTAACAGACTGCGACTGCGTAACAGAGCCCCTGAATGTAACAGACTGCTGCTTGATATTTACAATTTTAAAGGAGGTTTCAATTCTTTCCATTTTGCTCTCGCGAAACCTTCTGCCAGTGCTCCAGCCTTTATGTCTGTCGTGAAATCAAACACATCAGATGAAGCAACCCATCTAAAATTTGAAAAGACAATTATTAAATCGCAAAATATATCTACGTTTTTTATTCTGTTAATTAATCTAATAGTACCTTCTGGATTAAGAGAAATACATTTCGAAAAGGCCAAAAAATAAGGAGTGTATATTTGTTATTAAGTCTGCTGGTAAGAAAAAAACGTAAAAATTATTTCATTTTCACAGAAGTAGATTTTAACACATTGCTACAAATGATGACTATAACGGTCTTATTTTTTCGACAATATTTATGTTAACCCTTTCGCGCCGACTGTCACAAATACGTGACAGCATGAAACTGTATCAATCAGGATAAAAAGATAAAACTGGTAATCAAAGTAATTCTTTAGCAGTTTATTTGTGGGCGGAGTTATAATTGTTTGATTTATTTAATTCACCATTACTTTGTTCAAAATAAAACTATTTAGTTATACTTTGAACTAACATTGATTATATATATGATTAAACTAACAATAATTAAAGAAAGAGCAAAGTAAGTCTGTCAAATTAGCAACGACTACATTTAAGTTACCGCTTTTTATTTAATTGCAACTTGATTCTGATTTTGTACAAATGCTTTTCTGAATCACACGTCCCCAAGGGGTTAAGGTTGGCTGTCATCAAAATGTCTACCGTGTCAAACAAAAATCTTGATAAACGAATCTGTCAATCATCATTTAAAAAAAAAAAAAAAACTCTTTCTTATTTCTTGATATTATATGGTTTGTTTTCTTACAAGTAGTTAGCTTAAAATTCATTTTAAATCATTGAAATTAAAATTTCATTGAAAACTGTACATTTAAATTAATAAAAAGGGGTATTCGTTAGTGAGATTTTTCTAATGCATTGAATTGTTGATTATTCAGTAATACATCGGAAAAACATGTAACATCATGTTTTTTTTTTGGAAGGCGAAAAATAATGTCGTGATGAGCAAATGATGGTTTACAGGGATCCAGAGTTTTTATGGAAAATTGCATACTTGCCAACTTTTACGCATTTGGCGTAAAATTTTATTTCTATGTTTAAAGTGGTAATAAAATGTATACTTTCTATATATTCCTTACATTTATAAACTTAATTTATAATATTTTTGATCCACCACTATTTTTAAATAAATTAAGCATATATAATAATATGTAATACAATTGCAAAATGTCGCATAAGTTTGTTCAAAATACAGCGAATATTTCTGCGTAAAATTGCAATTTAAATTATATTTTACTACCACTGGAGAAAATCATCCTTGAAAGGATTAAAAGTTGGCAGGTATGAAATTGTGACAAAATGTCAGAATTTCCGCTTTCAAACCTACGACCTATTATCAATTTCATATGATAGTCATAAGCAATTAAAAAAAAAGAAAAAATTTGTTTTTTCAGCAATATCATCTAACCATAAGTGAGCGTCAACATGATGAAGTAAAAGTTTTGCCAGCTCTGTATTTAACTGAGTTATGCGAACAGTGCAATATTAACTCTGAAAATAAGCGTTATTTTATCGTGGCACCCTATGTTACACGGAAGATATTAAAGTGGTTGAAAACTTATCACCTAAACAAGTAGAAATTTTATCGATTGGCAACCACTTAAACTCAATTAAATTTTACCTCGCAGAATTTCGATTTCATCGTCGTATTTGAGTTACAGTACTTTTGTAGCCATCAAAAACGATTTATGTTAAGAAGAATAAGAAGAATTTTACGAAATAAGTTCCGCTACCACTTTAATAATATTAGCTGATCACTGGAAATTTAACACAGTAAAATTTTAAACACATATAAAAAAAAATTACGATCAAAGCTGTTAGATAATCAAAATTTGCATCAACCAAAATGAGCGGAAGGAGTTAAAAAAATTCTGCATTTTTGATACCACTATTAATTGAAAAATATTATTTACGTTAACGTCAAAACTTTTAGGAACGTTTTTGAAATTTTTGGCATTAGTTTTAGAAATAAGCTTTTATTTACTCCGCTTATTTTAGTTGAATCTAATTTTGCTGATCTGAAATGTTGTAATCTTTTCCTTAAAAGCTCTGTTCATTTTTTCGAACAAAACAATGTTGCGATGTTGAATGTCCTAAAACATTCGCTGCAGAAAGAAAAGTAGTTTCCATAAAGCAGTGGTCGCAGGGTCCTATAAAGTATTTTAATTTGGTGGCCAATTTACCTCGAGTTTCAAGTTAGTTTTAAATATTTAACTTTTGGACAAAATTTAAGAGTAAAACCGTTTTTCTTTCTAGAACTAAATATAATTATTTACTTTGTTATCAGGCAGCGGAAGTTAAAAACCTCATTTCATCAAAAAATATCATAACTTTCCTATCACTCTTTATATTTTAATAGGTCATTGTGACCACTGCATAAAGCGGATTTACAGGGATCAGGTAAACAACCAGAGTGTTACAGGGTTCGAATTTCAGCAATGGCTAGTTGATACGAATTCCGTACCCGGATTGCACCGATAATAGTGTTGACGCAAAATATCCTCAGTGGTAAACGCATCATGGATTAGAGCCCCCTTACCATCGGGCTAACCGTGAGAGGTTTTGTGGTTGTCTTCTTCATATAACGCAAATGCGGGTTAGTTCCATCAAAAAGTCCTCCACGAATGTAAACTTTCTCCCAGTTCTTGATCCAGGAGTTCCCTTGTCTCCTGGATTGGATTTAAAATTACAAGGCTACGGAGTTAAACGTTAGTGGTCGTAAACCCGAAAATGGGTCGGCTGTTCGACGACGGTTTATAAAAGGAAAGAAAATCAGGGTAAAATGATAAAACTGGTAGCCAACCTGTTTCTTTAGCGATTTATTTGTGGGTGGGGTACTAATAGTTTGACTTATTTAATTTACCTTTACTTATTTCAAAATAAAAATTATGTAGTTATAATTTAAAATAACTCTGCTTAAATGTGGCTTTTTCCCTGATTGTCGCTATCCTGTTTCAGAATTGTCCAAATTATTTTGTCCAACTTTTGCAATCGCTCTCCTTTTAAAATTCAGCGGTTCAACTAGCAATAATCCTGTATCTTATTAGCGGGTTGCATGCAGGCAAATTTTCCAAAGAAATGTATTACAGCTTTTAGAGATAAAAATTTTAAAAATAGTGGTCCGAAAGTATTTTTGAAATGAATTTTTGAAATATATTGAAAGTATTCCGATAATATTTTTGAAAAACAGATTGGAAACGAAGTAGATTTGCTACCACTATTTAAACTTTTGTATGGATTGCACAAATTTTAAAAACATATTTTTACTTGATCCACTTGCAATGTGTTAAAAATATCGTGGTAGGACTTTAAACCACATTAGGATAGATTGATACTTTTACCACGGTCAGAAGATACTTTTTTCTCTATATTTTGATGAAACAAGATAATTCAAGATAATTCACAAGATAATGCAAGTAAATAATTTAAATAACTGAAGCGTTAAATTAAATTTAAATTAAAAAACTGAGCATCTTGTTAGCTTTAAAAAAAGTAATTCTTTTTATAGTAAAATAACTACTTGTTTTTTGCAGTAATTTGCGACCACAATTTGTGTTGGAACTACAAAACTAACTTAATTTTTTTAAACCATTCAGATAAATTTATCAAATGTTTACTAAATACAAATGGTTGAGTTTTTCCAAAACCACAATATAGCGAAATAGACATAGAGATACAAGAAAAAAGGTTCGTTTATTTTTTTTCCCATCGTATTATTGCTTAGGTTTGAATTGAAATGTTTCAAATTAAATAAGATTAACCTAAAATACAATTATGGTGAAATAAATAAATTTTTAAAGGTATTAAAATGAAAAAAATTAAATCACATTTTAATGCTAGGTTAAGGCAATAACTTTTTTTTATATATCAGACGTCATATTTTATTGCAGTTATATGATGAAAATTTGTTAGATTTAAATGGTTAGCTACAAATTACACTAATAAATTTTCAAATCAGTTAAATTTGTTAAAATTTCAACTTACAGGAAGGCAAACTTTACATGTACCATTTTCGATGAGTCAGATTCATTGTCATCAGTTTCTCTAAGGAAAAAACAACAATATATA